AGCAAGGTATCTTGATAACGTACGCTATGCACAGGGGAGGCGTACTTTACTGTAATTTCTACCATTTACTTCTTCATTTGGATCTACGACGGGAATAATGATAACGGTAAAATAGAAATTTGATGCCGAATGATATTTAATAGTGGCTATCCTCTTATCAAAGCAGTATCAATGTAATATTAAAGTAATCGATACTAGACATTATCCAACAACAAATTATAAAGAAGGTTAAAACTTTGTTTGAATAGTTGTGTCGATATCGTACATAACAATAACGCAACAGCCTAAACGAGCGTGCATGTTTTCACAACAATAATTTTCCTTTTATTCCTTATAATTTTCATCATGTGTTGAAATCCGCTCATTTTCTTCAATGTAAACGAAGTCGCAAGTATTACACTCCGTTCAATTATTTTATACTGTATTTAGAGAGTATTTGCCGAATAAATTTATCTCATATCGTTATTTAATTGTATTCTAATGAATCGATGTTAGAAATAATTGCAAATTTAAGATACGGGTATACGTTGTGTGATCACGTTTTCGTAGTTGATATCAAAAGGTAAAAAATTGTATTGTCTCATTTAGGAATACTGCTAATTAAGTGGAATAAAATATTGCTTTTGTAAATTAACGATTTAATATAAATTTCTAGCAACGATACTCAATTTTAAAATATTGTAGAATTGTTATTAGTCATAGTGTTTTTTAATAGGATGACAATTTAGACAGTCGTTGAAATTCTATATACAACATACGCGTACCTAAATGATGAATAATAAAAACTTAGAAAGTAGTAATGGTATCATTTCGTTATTTTATCGATTCCTAGCTTTCTGTATTCAGTTCGGGTTCGCAATATTTTTAATACCTACTTTAACATAGCTTACTTAAATTTAGGGACTTTATATCGTTATAAAGCAGGTAACACTTCAATATTCCATTACTACAGCCAACCGCAGGAAAGCCATTCCTGTTTACCAAAGATATATTAATTTCTACTTTAAGTTTTAGAAAAAATCAGTGGCATAAGGATATAATAGTGTCACACCCATGCGATGCAAATACTTCTAGCAATAATGGTAAAAATAGATCAAACGAAAGTGCAATATTTCATTGCAACCATCTTAATATCGCCTAATATCATATTTATTAGCCAAAGAATTTTAAGTAAAGTAGATATGGCTAAATAAGAATATTAGTTCATTATAGCGATAGAACGGAAATATCGAATAACAAAGCGATAGTCCAACTTGATATTAGAATGTTAAACATTTCTTGTGATTTTTATTATAATATGTCTTAAATGAAACCTACCCATAAAAATCCTTCCAATCAAGTCTTTGAAAGATTTAAAAATTCGCGTACTTTGGACCATATTTATAATTTATCTAATTCTTAAGTAAATGGGATATAAATATATTGGCGATTACAATAGTTTAAGATGGAGAATCGATTGATCCATATTAATGAGAATTTGAACTTCATTAAATTTTTATTATTCATCTTTGGTTTAAAAGTTCAAGAAATATTGGTATTGCTTCTCCTTTTTGTATGCGAGAGGGCTACAAGAGTATTGAGTCCAAAAAAATGGAAGTCATTCTAAGCAATCCATCCTATTTTTGAAGTTAATTAACTTTTAATAATAGGCAAAGTAGCTACAAGATTTGAAATGCTATATTTATTAAGCTTCTTACTGAAATTGGCTTTGAATAGATCTTAGGTTAATACTTTATCAGCTTAATCTATTCATTAAATGATAACATTGTCTATAAGATTAATAATTGCTGGACTGCAGCAGCCGGAAGATAAGATTAAAAGCGTACAAAATGCAGTTCTTCCGCTTGAGGGGTAGCAAACTACCGAATGCAAAGCAATCATAACCTAAGTTATTGTCCGCAGCAAGGCCAGCCCACTAAATTCTTTGTTGTTCAACTATTGATTGCATATTAAAGATGTGCGAATACTAATCTTTCATATCGACAAAGCTTATTGTTCTAACTCTATTTCTGAAGTAAATTACATGGTAACCATTATCTACCCGGATGGTAATATACTCATGCAATTTTCTTACACTGAGCGAGTTGCATGCTGAATTAAGAAATTCAGTCATGCATTATTTGTTAGTGATAATGCTATCTTGATCTTATAAAATGGAATTGATGATTGTTAAACTCAACGGATTGTATATTACTAGTGTAGTTGTCGAGTAAATTAGATGTCTGCTTTCATTGATATGGTGGAAATCTTCCATTTGATCGATCTAAATGCAGCTGAGAAAAGATACATGAATATGGCTTGCTAACTTTATACAAGTCAATTATTATTTTCTTATTGCCATGGTTAAATATACGCGTACTCACTTATTTTTACCATAGGAGAATACGTCACATTTTTGTAATAAAATTGTTTATCTGTGGGATACCTTTATTGCAGTAGAAGTTTATTATACCTGTTTACTTAATTATTTCTATCTTTCGAGCTAAACAATATAGAATTAATTAATTAAGCGACAAATAATGATAGTTGCATAAAAGATTATGACGTTTCTACCGTTGCTTAGCTGTCACACAGTACTGCTACCGTCTCTAGCAGTTGATAGTGGTAGTCCTTACGAATGGAGACGATAATTTCAAAAATATTTTTATCCGATAATAATTAAAATTTCTTGATGCTTGCCGTAGTCGTTGAACAACAGAAAATTCATGTTGAGATTATTTATGCTAATCGATGAGATTACAAGTCACTTTTCAATTAAAGATAAATAAAATTACTGGAATAGCGATAGACAGTAATCAAAAAATAGACATTTTTGATTTTGAATTGCTCTTCATCTATTAAATATAGATGAGCTATCCTACTCCCCCAACCTCGACATCCACAATAACGTATTGATTCAATAACATTTTCTCATCTCTTGCAAATAAAATGATGATGCATCCTTTTGACTCATTTTCTAGAATAATGCAAAATAGAGAATTTTGATCATTTGAATTCATTTTCTTTCCAATGTTGTTGACCAAGATAATACTTGATGTTTACCTGAGTTAGGTAATAGTCATAAAAGATTCATATTAACTTTGATCCAGTCATGCTGACTGATAATCTTTTTATAGCCAATTTGATGTTGGTGAGAAATTGGTGATATTACTCATATTACACCGCTAGATAATATAATACTTTCTTAATTAGAAAAGCAAACAACAGGCTGTGTACTGTAGAGGGTGTTTTCTTATAGCTATTGTTTTTCCTTGAGCTCAAAAGTGGTGATTCTAGTCCAATCGAGTTGGAAGATAGTTTATTATATAGTGTCTTTGCAACATTTTTCATGGGCATAATGATGATCATCGTGCTGCTAACCAAGGAGATAGCTTTTCTAAGCTTGATTGCTGTCACCTTGTATGACAATTGCATAAGTCTACCGTCGTTGTGTACGACAGCTGTATTGAAAATATTGAATCCAAAATGTGCTCTGATTCCTTTGGCTCTGGCTTCAGGAGTAAATAAAAAATGCCATTTATTAAAGTAATCCAGTAGCTAATGGCTATTACTGGAGTAAGTATTGATTAACTATTTAAAATCAATAGTCTTTTTTTTTAATATCTGCGGTCGTATGAACATTGAATGATTTATTGGCCTTTACACACCCATTCGTGATGGGCTGCTCCAACTTTCACCCTCCCAATGATGGAAAAAATTTGCTTAATAGCCTTATTTCAATTAATATGCTATTGTACATGTTGTTTTTTACCAATTAGCATATTTTTTTCATTGATTAAGTGGACGAGAAAAGAAGGATGAATAGACTAGAAAGGGGGAAAAAAATTGATCAATTAATACGTTGAAGACGATATATTATTATGGAATAATTTTCGTTATAAACAAAGCGTTATCAATGGCTAACTCATGATTATGATGTCCAGTAGGTGATCATATTGTCTAGTAGAAGACATTGTAATAGAATAATAAAATATCATCAATATCTCCTACTATCAATTGATGAAAATTTATAGACAGCCTTAAGCTAGCATTGAAATTGAATGAGATTAAACTGTAATGCATGATAGTATACGAGGCATTAAAGTTAAAAGTCATCAAATATCACCTTGATGAAATTAGATCAGTTATGCTTGATAAATGATCCATTTATTTTGATCGATGATACCATAATATAATGAGTTAAAAGGTTCAAAAATGGATGGATAGCATGATATATCATTCAGTAAATGAGGTAGTTTATCAGTATTATCCTTCGGCTCAGTTAGATAGTCAATGTAGGCATCTTGTAGTAAAGTGGGATGCCCTTATTGACATTGAAATTGAATTTTATACCAGTATTTGTTCAAGCATGTTAGAATTGCTCAATCGGCTCGATCATTGATTGTCCGTTGGAAAAAATTTCATTTTTCTATTCTATTTTTTTTCTCCTTTTTTTTATTTTTTTCTATCCACTGATGTTGAGGCAATTGATTCTAATTTATACTTTCAAAATAAGACGAATAGACTGTTTAAAAGTTAACGATGTTGTTAGCTTAATGCTCTTCAACTAGAATAACAATCGATGACATCTTTTAATAATAGACTAATGCATCTAAATGATTTGCAGATTTGAATCCAATACATTATAGACGTCATGGGGTGCAAGTTTATTCTCGTCACCAAGAGTAGTATATAATAGACGGCATATTTGATTGACAAGTCATTTTTTGAAGGAGTAATTGAATAGAAAGAAGTTAAGTAGTGATCTTCTCATTAGTCGTATATAGCCCCCACTAACTATCGTGTGTGACCTGTAGCGACTGATGAACTTTGCTATCACTTGTATTAATTGAAACAGATTTAACCATTCCATCTTTCTGCTGGGCTGCTATTCAAGTTATACCTATAATCAACATTCCATTTTTTTCCTCTTGGATCTACTGGAGTGATCGTTATATCATTATTATTATTCTATAGAAAATATTTCTTGTCTTAATCATACTTATATTACCACATTCAAAATGCATAATTATCCATCGTTGAAACGGACTACTGCCATCCTTATTTTATTACTGGCTTTAATGGTATGGAGCGATAATGTGCAATGTTGCCCAACTCTATGCCAATGTCAGAGAAAAGCAGTCAGTTGCCGAGGTGCTGGATTGACTGTCATACCTAGAAGTATTCCGCAAGATATTGAACGATTGTAAGTATCATCATGCAAATTGTTTGCCTACGATACCATTTCTTCCTGGTATCTTTTTACCTCTTATCCATATTGTCTGGTAGGCACTACTTTAATCGATCGATAACCAAGATAATCTCTTTCTGCCTATCTTTGGTTCTTGCTTTCTATCTCTCTTTCTGTCTCTCTTGCCATACTTTGATAACCTTTTTGTACTACTATCATCATTTATTCCATTCTAGACAACCATTTAAAATTGTATAATTTGCCCTCCAAAAAAAACAACCCTGTCCCGTTGAGGCATGCAATCGAGATGAATTGATCGAGGCTTTTCAATCCAGTTCAAAAAAATCTTTTTATTACTACAGTACATTGTAAGACATCAATATCATCGTCTGTTGGTCCAATAGCCCTTGCGATCAAGAGATTGAAATAACACTTATTTTATGAGTGCTCTAAATAGGCCTTGCTTATAACTTATCATCTTTATTTCTTTATCTACAATGAACTGATTGATCATTTATTCATCTGACATTAATGATGATATTGACCACTCGCTAAGATTACTCATTTTTTCAACATCCTATTGCAAGAGGAAATCAATGATAGCATTTTGAACCAATTTGCTTACGAGATCAATGTTAGAAAAAACTTCATTTATACGATTTGTTAAAGCGGAAATACAATTGGATATGTCTGACCGCTACGTCTCTATCTATAGCACTCTCTAGACTTGATTGAATATTCCATATGGATGTCGCTATTCCACTTCTTCAATCAATTTCATCCTATAGTGACGAACAATTAAGATCAATCCTACAACTTTGTTGCATTAAAGTTGTGCATAAATTGCTCAGATTTCTCTATCATTTTTAATTTTTTTTTTACTTCAGTTGAACATCACTTTTATTATCCATTTTGGTTATCAATGCTATTTTTTTTATCATGCATTATGGAAGTATTGTCGAATTTTAATAGTTCATTATTTCCTCGATAGAAAATTCATTCATCCTACGTGAATGGTGATATTAAATTCTTTTTTTATTCCATTGACAGGGATTTCAGTAATAACAGCTTAACTTCAATCACAATCACCGATTTTATGGCTTTTAATAGATTGAAGACATTGTAAGTTGCAATTATTTCAGCTTTAGTCGAAAAAAGTCGGATCTCAAATTGAAGCTCCGACTGCATGTATAAGTAGAAAATTCTCCTTCTATAAATGGATTGTTTAAGTTTATTTATTTAATTGGCTTCGATGATTGGATTGAGAATTGATTCATCGCCATGTCGTATATCGTATAAATATTGTATAAATAAGATCTGTAACAAAAATATCATATTAATTATATCGTTGATGAAGATAACCTTATCCTCGATTAGCATTCAATTACAAGTTCTATCATTTTGAATCTATGACAGGAATTTATCATCCAATGCTATAAAAGAAATACAACCGGGCAGCTTTGATAAATTGATCGTCTTGGAAAAACTGTAAGTCAACATTGATGATCTAGTCTGCAGTTCTAATCTTCATGAATGATATTTTAGATAATAAAATATTGCAATAAAAACATAAGTGAAGGAGGCGTACGCAATAGCGACGATATATCCAGTTGTCATCTTGCCAGCCCACCAACGCAATACATGATATTTATTAAGTAGCTTAAAAAAATAAGCCCCAAAATGGATTGATATAGGATCAAGTTGATCAATAAGATGATGTCAATGTCGCTGTGTTGTGTTGCTTTCTGACAAGGAAAATCAATTCATTTGATAAATAAGATGTCATAGAGCTATGGTTATAATATTTTTTGTTCTACCCTATGGAACTCTCCATGGCTAACTCTACTTGATCAATTTATCTTATTTATTATTTTTTTTAATTTGAAATTGGACGCCACTTGACTAGACTTGGCACCAGTTTTTTTCTCAAATGACCGCTTGAAGGATAACTCCATTGAGTCGATTTTTATAGCAAATCTTATATTCTACTAGTAAAATGCAAGAGATCACCTTATGATCATTGATTTATCAGATAAGTGATACATTTCTAAAGTATGATCTAAGTGGCTTACTCAACTCGATTGCATTGACGAAGACAATTTAACAACGTCATTTTATACAAAATTTTTTTTGATGGCTGATGACATAATGTACTTAGTTTTTTGTCTCAACATGCCCAAAATGTAATGTTTGTTTGCTTAATCGAAAGACCAACATTTTATTGTTTGATTAATCACTGGTCCGCATCTACTTTTAGTCGATGACAAGATATCTTGGGCGGTCTAGCGTATGCGTGTATGCGTGTCTTGTGACAAAAAAGAGATATCCCGTAAAAACTGTCTAGTGCTGATTCATCATTGCAGCTTGTAGCTTGACCTAACGTAGAAGAATATTAAGCATTGCATTTTATTTTATTCTATTCCATCATGATACAAAGTGAATGCTATTACAGTTCCCATCCAAGCGACAATTATAGCTGCTTATTCTATAGAGTTAAAACGAGCTAACATTATTTTTTATATTCGTATTCATATGATGATTAGCGCCATTAAGTAGAATAATCATTCCATTATTATAATATTAATTAATTAATAAGGTTACAGTGTCATTAACGACAATCGATCGCCTTGAATAGCAATCGGCTTGAATTAAGTAATACAAAAAGAATTGTTTTTTATTCATGGCCAATAAGATGCCAACCTCAAATTATTTGATAGGGCCTAATTCAATATCAATGATCACATTCTATTATTGCTCTTGTAGGCTATATTAGAGAGCAATAATGGCCATCGAGCTCCTTCTAAAGTAACAATAAACATTAAATTATAACAATGATCGATATAATAGGCTCTAAAAATTGGATAATAGAATCACTCTTTAAGTTTTTGCTAAAAACTAGTCTATTGCTACGTCAAGACGGTAGCTTTTTTTATCCTAAAATGATACACAGAGAATTTATTTTAATAGAGAAAAGAATTAGACCGTAATACAGATAGTAGTGGTAGATCATTTTCCCATCATGATGATCATACTATACTGGGAAATATCAAACTATCTTTAAATTCGTATGATTGCTTAATACATCATGCTGATCGATATGAACTTCTTACACTTCATTTTTTTTTATACGCAAAACGTACTTATACCAAGTAATCGTAAGTGATTTCGGTATTATAGAAGATAATCATTTGTATCTAATATCTGCCCATATTTAATGTAGCATCTGTTTGCAGTATTTTCGGCAACACTAATACAAATAAACAAATATGATTTAACACGGTGTAGTAGTTTGTAACATTATCGTCAAGATGATTCAATTAAGTTTAGCATATAAATAATTGAAATTTAGACGTCTATAATCTAATTATGACTAACATTTTTTTGGCACGTATTTCAAGCAAGCTTGCACTAGCCTCTTTCTCTTGTTTTCAACAAATGATTTTATTGAATCAAAGTAGATAAAAGTGTATAAACTTAAATCAAATTTTCTTTCCCTTTAAATCGACAACAATAGAGTTGGAGCTTTTAATTTTATAATGTCAATATGGATTTATCAAGCAAGAAACACACCTTAATTATTCACATTTTCTTTGGTGGTCATATTTTTACAGCTGTTTTATCGAACGATAATCCTTTTTTTTCAGACAATACTATAGTATCATTTTTGCATTAATTTAATAAGAATACAGAGCAGATTTTTAGATAAGCAGATGTATGTATATATATATAATATGTATATTGGATAGAAAATAATGGTAATATTTGCTCGTCGATTGAATCATAAAATCCTGCATTGACCTTCAAAATCTTGGCTTTCTCCATTTAAAATATGAATTTCTAGATTACTTGCTGGTAATAAACTGCATGAAATTCAAGACAAAGTATTCAACAAATTAAAATCACTCAAGCGCTTGTAAGTCTAACTAGATGGTTACAACTAAATTATTAATTAATAAATTTTTAGTCATACCGTAATATTGATCCACGTATACTAAAGGCATAAGGAAATAGTAGACCAATAAGTCGATAACCTACGTGGTGGTGTGAAGGTTTTGTTTGTTATTGACATAAAATAGATCAATTTTGGGGGGTCGAACATCTTTACTTGATTCGAATAAACAATATTAATGTTAGAGCGATGAGTCATACAAGCTGACCTTATCAGTTTAATAATTGAGCTAGAGTTCAGTTAAAATTGTCGAATTTTATTTTATCAATAAATTATACAATCTATCAATTATTTAATAATCAAGATAGATTTAATGAATTCATTTCCAGATGGACGATATTACATTCAATTATGAGCTTATTATCAATCGATTAATATCTAATGTATCAGTCTATTGAATGAAGTTGATTAAAATTAAATTAATTATGGAAATAAAATTTTAATTTCATAAATAGTAATTTACAATGTTGCAAAATTGCATTTCAATTTGCAATCAGCAGATTAGGAGATTAAATTAGCAATCTTCGCTTGATCTTCAAATTAATTTATAATCATCAATAAGACGAATTATTTAATAAGGAATAATTCATTAATACCATATATTGTATTAGCTAACAATATGTTACCACCTTCTACTTATTGTCTATCATTCAAGGGACTTGGTGAATAATCAAATATTGGATCTGGCTCCTAATAGCTTTAGCGGTTTATCCAAATTGAAATCTTTGTATGTCGACGTGACGTCATGATGAGATCATCTAATCATTTTATTTTTAATTTCATCTCTAATAAATAGAACTTATAGCTATTAAGTTAACTATGCTGCAAGTTTACATCCAACTAATGTAGTCAGCTTGGAAATTCTGATTTGATTGATTAACAATATGAAAATTATTTTATAGGCGCCTTGATCACAACTTTATTGATTGTGTACCAGCTACAAGCTTATCTGGCTTAAAGTCATTATTAATCTTGTAAGCTATGAATCAATCGAATATGGACTATAAATAGAGTAGAGACAAAGATTTTTTTGATTCCAATTCATGAACTACTTTTAATATCACTCTTTAGGTCATTGACAGACAATAAATTAGTCTATTTTCGACATGAAGTTGTCAAGAAATTGGTATCTTTGCAAAAATTGTATGCTCAATAATTGAATATTTTTTCATTCTTGTATAATTAGAATTGGTTGTTTTAAATTCATATTTGGTAGCTATAAGCTAGATGATAGGATTAAAAAAGCAGTAAGATAGCTTGACAACAACGACTTGTTTTTAACCTATGTCAACTAAGAATTTATACTTTATTAACATTACAGCTTTATTATGTAATAATACTATGATTCCTGTATTTATAATAGGCATTTAAAAGTTAACCCTCTAAGTTGTAATTGTCATCTAAATTGGCTGGCTGATTTAAAAAATTCTCAACCCAAATTGCGAGTATTTGGCAAATGCCGAACTAAATTAGCTATTAATGGAAAGAAAACGTTCCCTCTTGGCAAGAACTTTACGTGCACTGGTAATTACATAATTTTGTAGATTCACTAAATTTTAACAAAGATCTTTTACATAACAGTGCTGTCAAATATAGGTTATATCAACACTTATGATTAGCTAGAGGTTAAAGTTTTATTTTATTCTACCGCTAATTATATATAACATCTTTAATATTTATATAAACAAAGATTTAATACAGCAAGAATAGTTTGTGACTTATAAAAATAAATAATATGTATTTTTCGTTCTCTAGAAAGCGAACGTCACATGAATTTGACATGTTCCTATATTCCAGCCTGCCCACAAAAATGCACGTGCATAGGCACGATTGTAGACTGCTCCAGGAAAAAGTTGACGGAAATTCCTCATCACCTTCCAATGGAAACTACTGACTTGTAAGTCTGAGTGATATAACGATATTATTAAATTTAATATTAAATTGTACAAGCATGTCTAATGGATCTGCGCACATTGAATAAAAAACTAGTTGATTCATATAGATATCTAGAGTAAGTTCTCCTTCATAAACTTTGATTTAGGCGTATATCTGGAAATAGAATAAGTTCAATCAAGTCATTTAGTTTAAGAAATCTTAAAAAGCTAGCAAAGATGTAAGTAATATGACCGCTCAAAGGGTGTCGACTTGTGTTCAATACTCAAAATAGATTGGAGCCAATTATGCATAATGATAGATTTCTACATTTAGCCTACTAAATTATCTTATGACTATTAAATAGATTGTTAAGCGTAAATTCATAAATTGCATCTTAAACATATAAAATAGATAATATGAATTAAGATTATAATTATGTTATAATGCGTCATGGTTTTTGCTGATGCACCTAATGTGTATCAATTATATTTTAGTTTTCTGATCTTAAAAATTGATATAGTCAGATCTTAGGAAAAATACAAATATTGATTGTCTTATATATTTAGATAATTAGTAGGGATGCAATACGTGTATTAATTTAGTAGGTACAGTTTATGTAATGCATAAAAGTAGCGTAGGTTATTCTATTTGAATTGCTTCGTATTATCCAATAAAATTAACTGAGCTCATTCAAAGATTAGATATTTATAAAACTTACTTTAAGTATTAAAATTATTTCATTATCTCCTTTTAATTATTAATTTCTTTGGTTTTTACCTTATAAATTATGCTTTCAGAAGTTTTGTATTTTAAATATTGTCTGAATTCGTTTACAGCGATCTGAGCACTAATTTGATTGAAGATATACATCCTGAAGCATTTAAACACACCCCATCGCTGGAACAGTTGTAAGTGACGCAATATCAGAATATTTTTTCTAATAATTACATACCTAGACGGCTGAGGTGATAACCTTTTCAAAATGAGGTTAAAATTTTAATTATTTTTTTCTAGATTATTATTCAATAACAAACTTAAACACCTACCCACGAAAGTTTTCAATGGTTTATTTGATCTACGGGATCTGTAAGTTTGACTAATCAATCAATTAAAAATATCATTGCTGTAAATTAGGTAACCGCTGTTTATGTTCGGATAGATGCATTACTTATTGATATGCTCTGAGTATACTAAACTGGTACATGATTGATTTTCAGAATTCTTGATGGCAATTATATTAGCTGTATCGATAAGGAAACGTTTCAGGATCAACAGAAACTAAAAATCTTGTAAGTTCGTAGAGTTGACAGTAAAAATTACTTATTTCATAATATTTGCACGTTAACACTAATTTTTAATTATGATTTAATTTTATAGATCAATTTCTCGTAATAAATTATCCTCCTTAGTTTATGAAACTATAGATCCTTCCAAGCGTTTATTAAATATACAATCTATGTAAGTTTTGCATACTTGGAGCATTCTTATTAAGATCAAAATTGGTAGGCACTAATCGCGTAAGGTGTTACTAAGCTGTTAGTGTTTTTTTTTTTATGTAGATTGTTATCGGAAAATCCCTTTATATGTGATTGCAATTTACAATGGCTAAACCACCAATTAATTCACAACTCGACGATGCGGCAATTAATTCGTGGTACACTTATATGCAATGCGCCTAGGCGAATGGTAGGGAATGAAATTGGTTTAACGAGCTCATCTCAATTCATGTGCAAAGGTAAAGCGAGACAAACATGGTAGTTTTGCTTGAGCTGTTTTTCGAATACATAAGTGACAATCATTTGTATAATGCATGATCATCTAACTCGTCTTCATCTATTTATTTAATCTATAAAAATTAATACATATTGGTTGGTCGGTAACATAGGTTCGGAGGGTCTAAGAACGAGCAAGGCAGGTAGCCAAAATTGTTTTATCGACTGGCCTTGCCCTAATAGTTGCACCTGCTCTGGCAGTAAAGTTACATGTAAAGGCAAGAAATTTACTGAAATTCCTGACAAAATTCCACGTTTAACAACAGAACTGTACGTATTTATTAGTAGACTTTCCGTAGTGATTCTTGTGATAAAGATAGCAGTATTCAAATGATAGTAACTATCATAGAGTTACCATAACAGAATGCTAGATAGTTGCTCACTATGCGAATGATGAATTAATTTGCTGGATTTCATTATTGTTACCTTTTGTAGACGACTTGACAACAACGAGATTAGCGAAATAACAGCAGGGAAATTAGATGAATTAAAATATTTGGAATTTCTGTAAGTTGCTCACAAGTTTGATTTAGTACGTAATCTTTATAGCGCGAAGCTTATAGTATTTATTAAAATTTATCGTGTATAATAATAGGAGTGTTAGCAAAAATAAAGTAACCAAGATCGCTGATGGTGTCTTTAAAGATCTTCAGAACTTGAAGCACTTGTAAGCAAATAAATTTTATATTATTGTGTTGCATTATATCTTTATTACGTGTAAGCATTGAATCAACGATATTTTTCACATTTATTCAAGAGCCCTAACAGATAATGATTTAGAATCCCTATCTCCGATGCAGTTTTTGGGTTTAGCGAATTTGGAGAGATTGTACGTTTGCTAGTTATTGAAAACAGTATATTGTAATCATTTAATGACTAACTCGACTACTAAATCGATATTACAATTTAAGTAAATTTGCGAATGAGAGTTTAATGGCTTGTTGCATTAATTATTACGTATAGCTTTCCGTGAAATTTTATATCGTGGAATAGGCATGATCGTTTAAGTCCTCTACCCTTCCATTTATTTAGGTTTCTAACTCGCAATAAAATCAAATGCTTAAACGAAGATACATTTCAATACTTGCCTAATTTACAATATTTGTAAGTGATTAGCTGAAATTGTTCGTGTAAACTATTAAGAAATGTTCGAAAATTGATAGATCCCACAGATAATAAATTGTTTAAATTCAATTTTATAGATTTTTACCAGAGAATCAGATTGTTAACATTGAAGAAGGAACATTTAGTTACTTCAAATCTCTAAATGTCCTGTAAGAGCAAACTATGCATCTTAGTATCATTTATTTAAGTATTTGAAATTAAGTTTGCCAATATTGCAGCTACCGCAACTGCAATTATCTATAGCTTATTTTGGCTTTGAATATCGTTAATTTGTAATGATTAAATTGTTAATCATTTTGTCATCAGACGCCTTGCCGAAAATCCTTTGGTGTGTGATTGCTATCTTAAATGGCTAGCTGAATGGCTAAGGAAGCAAAATGTGAAAGCAGATAGTGTACAATGTTTCAAGCCAGACAACTTTCATGGTTATGAAATTGATAATATGAAAGCTTCATCATTTCAATGCTTAGGTATAGCTTTCTTCAGTACTGACTTCTTTTCGCTACTCATCAATTTATGATTAAAATATCAGTACAGCTTAGAAATGGTTTTCAAAACTAACTAGGAAAAAGAAAAGATCGATGCGAAGCAGTAAATCACTGCCCCGACGGATGCAGTTGCTACGGAACGGAAGTTGATTGTAATCGCCGCGGATTAACCACTGTTCCATCATTAATTCCAACGGATACTACACAACTGTAAGTGAGAAGGATGGATACATGAATAAGCAAAAATTAAATAAGTAGTGTAAAATATCAATTTCTGCTGAACTGAATATGCTATTCCTGAACATCAGCATGGGATATTAATAACGTTTTCTACTGGGAAAGAATGTACTTTCTTTAATCAAGAGCTCTAAATTTAAGCTGGTCGTTATTTTCTATCTTTCAGGGACTTAAGTCACAATAATATAACTGTCATCCCAGATTTTGCCTTTAAAAATTTAGCTCGACTGCAATATTTGTAAGTATGGAATTGATTTAGATATTGCAATATCATTTGACCTTCATATGAAAAATCGAGTAATGACTATGATAGATATTTGCTGATTTATAGTTATACATTTATTTATAACCGTATAGAATCTTAAATGGGAATAAGATTGGATGCTTGTCAAACGTTAATGCTTTCGCTGGACTTTATTCATTACAGTACCTGTATGTATTAACAGAGATTGTGATTTTATAGTAATTCATTTGAACTAAATGATATTACATTTTATTACGTGATCATCAGGTTTTTATTTAACAATCAAATTACAACTATTAAGGAGAATATTTTCGATGATCTTGTATCATTAGTTAAGATGTAAGTATTTTATAGATATAAGAGTTGTTTTCCTACGTTATGTTAATGAGTCGATGTACGATTTGATTAAGGTTTATAAATGATTGATTATTATAATTATTATAAAGTGATCATATAGTCTAATTTGTAAGCTTGTTGATCAATTGCATTACGTGATTACTTGCTATTAATTTCTTTATAGCTCCTTAGAAGATAACTCATTATATTGCGATTGTAACATAACATGGTTGCGGGAGTATCTACTACAGAAAAATGTTGTCTCTTCGGGAGTTAAATGTAAAGGTCCATTAAAATTACGAAACCAGTTTCTTAAAAGGTTAAATGAAGGACAACTCGTATGCAATGAAGGTTAGTAAGATCACAAATTTATCAATAGATGAATCATTAATATCTAGAAAACATTATATAAAAACTAACTAATAATAATTAATTGAATGATTTGTAGATAGTACAGCAGTACAACATACTTGCAATCCTTGCTTGGCAAAGCCTTGTGCCAATAATGGGGTATGCTTTAATCAAGGCAATGGCCGATATAGATGTAAATGTCCAAAGGGTTACAAAGGTACTCAGTGTGAACAAAAAATCGTAACTTGTAGTCGTGCAATAAATTGCGGACCAAATACGGATTATTGCTTTGAAGATGCAGATCGATTTCAGTATTGTAAATGTTTAAAAGGATTTATTGGAGACCGATGTGATACCAAGGATAAGTGCTACTCTAATCCTTGCCAGAATAATGGCAAATGTACCTATATACATAGTGATTTTTTATGTCGTTGTGAAGCTGGTTTTACGGGCAGTTTATGTCAAACGAAGCTTGAATCATGTCATGGCTACTGTAAAAATGGTGGTTCATGCCAGTATAATTTTAAAGGCGATCGCTTTTGTAATTGTTTTGCGGACTTTACTGGCCCCATTTGCCAACATAGTATTCAAGATTATTGTTCATTAGCTGATCGACCATGTGCAAATGGTGGTGTTTGTACCAATAATCTAAAGGCGCAAAACTATACATGTTCTTGTCCTTATGGATTTACTGGACCACGCTGTGAACTCATCGATGAAAGATGTATTGGCAATAACTGTACTAATGGAGCTACATGTACATCATCAACTGTTAATACCGGTTATTTATGTCTTTGTCCGTATGGTTTTGCCGGAAAATACTGTGATATCTGTGTCAAATGCCAAAATGGAGGTAAATGTGTTACGAATGAAACTGGTAGCCATCTTTGCGTATGTCCTGATGGCTTTACAGGAGATGAATGCCAAAATATTCATAAAGTTAGTTTTATATCAACGAACTCTTATATTAAGATGCCTGGACCTAGTATTGATGAGGTATTAACATCCGCTTCAACGATCAGTTTAAGCATGAAATTTTCAACGTACACAAGTAGTGGTTTGGTAGCATATGATGGTGGTATGGATGATTTTATTTCTGTCGAGGTTGTTAACGGTAAAATCGTTGTTACAAGTACACTATGGGGCTATCCAACACGAATTCAATCAGAGCAATCAGTTAATGACGGCGTAAAGCATTCTTTGACAATATCCATTGCTAGGAAACAACTTACAGCAGTAATTGATAATATTTATATGTATACGACTGAGTTATTTCCTAGCAAAGCGGAAATTGATTTTGCCTCTGGATTTTTCTTGGGTGGAATACCTGTTGGATTAAAACACTTAGCCGGAACACAAAATCAAATTTTGTCTGGTTATGGTTTTGTCGGTTGTATTAATGACGTTGTTATTAATAACACGATGCAATATTTCCACCTGAATAGAAATTTAAAAGAAAATCGAGATATTATGATTGGCTGCACGATTAGGAATACCCCTTTTACATCTTCATATGATCCATGCGTGGATAATCCGTGTCCCAAAGAGTCATATTGTGTAAAATTTGAAGGCTCAGGAAATATAACACGTACATGTTTAGAAAGTACGTAGATATTTTCTTAATTTAAATTGCAATAAATTGTTTTAGAGGAGCACCGATAAGAAAGATTTAATATACGAAAATGAATTAATAAGTAATTATTATCATTTTTTTTTGAATTAAAATTGTAGATTGCTATCGAAAAACTGGTGTAGGTCACGTCTATCTGGATGGATGTGTTAGTACGAAAAAAGTAAGATATAGTACATGTATGTCACAAAATGAAAGTCCTTCCCAATCCTGCTTTAGCGATGCAGCTATCGATCCAAAACCAGTATTTTATCGTTGTGGTACCCGCAGTGACGTAAAATTAAAAGTTGCCGCAAAAGCTCAGCTGTGTAACTGTAAAACATGTAACATACGCGAATAATGACAGCAACATAATTATACCAATTGAATTAACTTCGCAAGACATCACTTTCACCTTCAATCAAACTAAACCATTAATTAAAATCCATCCGATTGAACTGACCAACGAGAAACATAATTCTCTCAATCTTAAGGTTGTAGACTTTGATGCTATAATTCAAGCAAGAAAGGTCTAATATAAAGCATATCTGATTGCTTCCTTTATCATCACCTGGTGCTAGAGCGAGATGCACGTATTTAGGTATAAATTTCACTTCATCGCAAAAAAGCGACTGTAATCACTGTTAAATTGTGATAAAGTAAAAACAATTAATTTGATGGATGATGTAATCATGAGATACAGCAGTTACTGCACTTTTAATTATAATACTGTGATAACATGTATACCTATAAAACGTATCCGTAAATCACCACTTAATGTTTAGTATTTATTGTTGTCAATTTATTTATTACCACGACAATTTTTGTTCATTAGAAGAAGCTGGCTTATGAGAGAGCGATATTGATCAGTATGCAATAACTTTTGAATTTTATGGAAAGAATTGGGTTTAATCACAACGTTATTTCAGAGAATATTTGATTTCTGATATATAATATTTTACAAATATGATATTGTTACTACAATTTTAGCCCTAAAATTACGTTAATACATTACAGGTAATGTAACGGATAGTACGGTATGGATGTGAAATATAAATACATAACACATATATGTATATATGTCTCTTTCTATATATGTACTGGTATTTAAGACAAAATGTATAGATTCCAACTGCTATATTGCAAAGCCTACAAATTCATAGGACATTTTCAACGATGCATAAAATATTTTGAATTATTCATTACGAAAATTTATTTCTATTAGAAATCAATTACGTATTAACCTCATTGTCTATTATATTAATTTTAACGCAATGTTTTGGTTCAAACCTTATCGGTTAAAAGTAATCTATTTAATTATTGATAATGTCTACTACAATATTATTGCGTATCTTGGATAGCCTTGTCTATAAAGACGAGCTCTGACACAAGAAAGGTGTCTATTTACTGAAAGTATAAGCTCTTTATTAACATATTGATTAAGCTTTTTCAAGTATTTCATACATTCCTAACGCAATTATAAAAGAAAATTTCATATTAATGACGATATGCCGGTAGCTTTTGAAGCTTGAGCCGCACGGAAGTGTTAAGTGGAAGGTATTTAAATACCAGTATGACTTAAGCACAACCTATAACTTGTACTTCTTTCTTTTTTTTCTTGTTTTACAGTCCCTAATATTATCACCCTTGATGCTATTGCTTCCCATCCTAGAATATAAAAATTAATTTCAAAAATTAAGTACTTACAAGCACAGGCTGCAAAGCACTCTGCAGTAAATAGGTCGTAGCGTTATATTAATGTGGTAAAAGAAATGTAAATCATCTTATTCTTATCAAGTCGCAAACATTGCAGTGTACTTTCGCTTGGGTTGTCTTGATTTTACTGAACAATTACGATGTTTATGGTCGTATTGGCCACAAATGTAGCAACCACTTCCTTGCTCAGAGCTTGAAATCAAATAGGTAATAAATATTATTAATTATTAGTTCAATGTTCAGGACAATCTTCAGCATATCTAAATAAAAGGACATGAGATTACACCAAAAAAATAGCACGTTGTGATAAATATTTACGTGGTTTTGCATTGATGATCTTTAGGGAGACACATTTTGCATATTTGGCAATGTACTCTTCCTGTGAATTTTGCGTTTTGCGTAAATAGATAGTATTAGAATATTAATCTTAAATTCCTAGTATTTTCATAATCTTAGTGAATAAACTTTCACTGATCTCAAAGAGCTAAAGTTTAAAACCAATCTTAGTAGTTACCTGGTTTAACACATTTTTTACACTCATCGCAATGGATGTAGGTTCTACCATCCTTAATATACATTAAGATCAATGATTAAGAATTTTGATTTTACATGATTGTTAAGAAACAATCTCGCATTGCCAATATAACATTGCATAGTACCTTTGAAGGACAATTGTTGCATTTGTAGCAATGAATATTTTCTCTAGCTACATATCGATCACAACTGTGACAAAATCGATAACCCTCTTCTTTAGGTAACGTTATCTTAGATGGCTTTATGTTAGTAAAAAGTCGTACTGGAGATTGCCTCTTTGATGCTTTGAGCTTGTCCGTATTTCTTCTATTGTTATATATCGGGTGATTATCATAATCAACTTTATAATCACTCATGTGGAATCCGCGAAGACATTGATATACATGATTTTCCAGAAAATATGGAAAAACTAATATTGTTGGCATTTCTTCCCCTAATTATAGAACAATAAGTATGAGTTAATAAAGGCTGCACTCATTTCAAAATTCCTTACCTAATAGTTAATAAATAAACTGTAGAAAAGGATTTTTACAGTAACTGCTATAGTTACGATGTTACTATCACGTAATGGAAGCGAAATAACTGCCGTTGAGTCGAAGTAATAAAATTAGAAATATTACGTTATCATAAAAGTTATTACTGTATATCGATTCGATTTACAACAGAATTCTACTTAGCTAATATTTGACTAACTTAAACCTAAACGGAGCAATTTTTGTAAACTTTCAGCAATAACTTGCAGTAAGCCACCGAAAGGAGGATCGATAAGGATGATTCCCTTCTTATTTTCGTTTTTCTGCATAAAATCCACATAAATTTGCTGACTAGTTTCACCATCAAAGAAATAATTATTAAACATATTATAACGGCAGTAACTCCAATTCGGATAAAATTGAGCCTAAAAATTAAAAGCAAAAGGCAGTAAATTATTAATTACATTGTTATATAATCCGAAGAGATTTAGATTACGGTATTTCCGTTAGTTAATACAACTTTGAATTTGCTCGTTTAGCAACAATTTTTGATCTTTTCTGTGTTGCTTACGTAGCGATGATCAATATCCAAGAGGATACTTTGGATGCTTTCTTTGCCACCAGGGCTACGTTGTAACTGAAGGAATTCATGAATTCTAATGAAGCATCAAATAAGGCTTATTTGAGTCCCATTTAAATCTCTTGCTTCTCTCATACTTTCATACTACACATAGGCTACTATTACATTCGAAATATTCTCAACCTAGACGTAAAAGTAGCTTACCTTGGAAGACCTATACATATGACGTAGTCTATTGCAAGTTCATTTAAGAGATTGTGAAAGAAGTTACAGGTTTTGTCAGAAAATAAGTATTGCTAAATTAAGTATGAAAACAAAATCAGTTTTGAGAAATTTCCCGATGGTTTGAGCGACCTGCTGTAAATTGCAATAATAATAAGTTTTATAGCTACGAATTGGGCATCGGTAATACGATCAAAGCGTCTCTGCATAGGTATAATTACGAGCGTAATTAATAATATAATAGGCGTGCCCTTAGTTCAATATATATAACATATCTATATCATGTACATATATATTAATATAAATGTTGAAATTTACAGCGTTGGTTTTGTTGCGTATTAAAGGTTTCAAAATTGTCGTCGGACGATCCAATCGACTAGCATCAATACCACGGGTAACATCATGCTTATCATGATCGGTAATTTCTGATAGGAATAGTAGTAATTCACAATTGTGACAGTAATTTCGTTGAATGTCCTCTTTAGCAGCTTTCAGCTCAACTAATCGTTGAGCTAACTGCTTCCTAGGCAATATATTCGGCTGCAAAGATAGATTAATTTGCTGTCTCATCCGTAATTTATCATCGCTAACGTCTTCATCGGCCCATTGAAAAAAGGAACAGTCTTTACGATCTCGGCATGCTGAGCAAGCGAAAAATCGGCGAGATGTCTTGTGTGATTTGTAAAATCGTTCAAATAGCAAAGTTGGACCTGCAAAGTGTAGAAACAAGAGAAATAAAGGATTGAGATATTATACAGTATTGTAAATTGGCAACGAATATCAGATAATAGTAACATTTCAATTTGTAACATTGACCAAAGGCGTTTGAAGAGATATGCATAAACTGTGCGTTCTCCATGGATCCTATATCTAGATAATGGATTATAAGAAAGAAGTACGCGTAATACAGTAGTGTCTCTTTTGCAGCTTTATACGAGGATTCCATCCAACGACGTTAGATAGATATGCATGTTTATTTACTTCATGAATATGGTCTTATGAGTTTCCAATAAGGTTGAAAGCAATGCATTGATCGTACGACTACGTAGCCTCAATAAGGGTTAAACTCTCTCAATTAATAAGATCACTCAACATCAATCAATAAATAATATTGTACATACTCGACTTCACTGTCAAAACGGAGAGCATAACAACTGCTACGTAGGCAACTTGGTTCAACTGCCATTGATAAATTGCATGATTTAATCAGAGCTTGAACAGGCTTGGTATGCTCGTAAATCTCTATACGGAGTGACTTACCATGGGGACAATATGGCGAGGGCTTATTTTTCATTTCATCCAGGCAAACATCGACGGAGCCACCTAATGAACGATCGGCTAGGGACATTTTTGGGGAACCTGCAACGATTCTTTAACTTCCTCGCATAAGAGTTTGCAGCTGCAGAAGTTGAAGGCTGCAATAAGAATAATACTGGACTGTACAATATGCAGTACTAAAGGCATTGTGTATGATCGTGGACTGATGAACCAGTACGAATGAATGATGTCATAGAGTATTAAAGCGATCAGTTTACGGACGTCTGACAGAAACCCAAATCGTGTTTTGAGAGATTTCTCTTCATAATCTGGCAAGGAGCTTGACGAAAGCTTGTAGAAATGTAGATCAATAAATGATGATAATAATAACGATGATGATTTATAATCAATGATAACGCAGGAAATCGCTGGTTCCAAAGGTCAACTGTTGATACAAGTTAAGTTAGCTGGCACTACCAGGAGTCTAGGCTTTAAAGGGTGCTAAGTGGTCTTTTTAGACAGTATCATTCCAGGTGATATACTCGTAGATGATTCAAATGATTCATGCAAACTGTCGTTTTCTTTTAATACACCTTGGTGTAGAGTAGAGCAAGTGTTAGGCATCGATGATAGTCGAAAGTTTCATCTGTAAACTAGGAAGTAAAATCCACGTCATTTGCCGCTCGAGTTGCAGCTTCTTCAGGTTTGGGTAATAACGATATCTCGTAGTTGCTGGATCAGCAATTTTACTTTGCAAAAAGGTATCCGGAAATGAAGTATAAGCAGATATTATCAATATACCTCATAATATTGGTCTGGTTATCGTCACCATATTATCAGATAAATGCAATGACGAACTGTGCAGTAATAAAGTGGACTTTTGCAATGAGTGGTATCCTTTTTGGTGGATTAAATATTTGTATTAAGATGGTGCTAGATTCAACAGTGTGCTTGTCGCATGAATGTTGTACGGATCGTGCTCGATATCACTATTTAACAAATACCATGATAGAATCTCTACGGCGTGACATTTTTGGTCAAGAATTAGCCGTACAAACTATGGGTAACATCTTCAAACGCTATCAGATGAGTCAGAATAGCTTCAAAAATAATAAAATCTTTCTATTTCACGGCGATATTGGTACTGGTAAAAGTTACGCTGCATCGCTTTTAGCCCATCATTTATTTCCACTAGGTATTCATAGTAGACTGGTTATGAATTTCGATCTAGTAAACATACTAGACGATAAAAATAACGACATATTTCAAGCCAATCAATGGTTAACAAATCAAATTCTGAAATTGAGTCGGCTCTGCTACGCTGGTGTAATTATTCTTGAACGATGGGATGAAGTTAATCTTTGTCAGTTTAATGTAATCGATTCAATTGTTGGAAATCGAATAGGCGATCCCAATCAAATGAAATTTCGGCGTATGACATTTATATTTATTTCTACCATGGGCAGTGCAGAAATCAACAACGCTACCATTGCTGCCTATAGCAACAATCTACTTCGGGGCGATTTTCAAGATCGACAAATTTATCATCAAATTGCTGCATTGATAACAGATAAAGTTCCACAATTTGCTAGTATTGATAGCTTAATTAACATTATTGTGCCTTTTCTACCCTTGCAAAGAATTCATATCAAGCAGTGCGCATTACATGCAATATCAACAACTACTGAAGTACTCGTAAATCAAGATAGGAAAGCTCAACTAGCTGAACATATTGCTAATTCTGTATCATATCATACTATAAGTAAATTCCAGTTTGCAAAATGGGGATGTAAAAGAGTTTATGATATCTTGAATGCTGCATTATCGGTAGAGTAGTGAGGGAGATATCGCTAGCCATTTCCTTTTGTAATTGCTTGTAATGATAGAATTGATAAAATGTCTTTAAAACTTCCAATCCTGACTGAATTATTTATATTGAATGCATATATATGTATAGTATATTGTATTGTTAAAACTACAACAAGGCTTATTCCAGCAAAGGATACTTTGCTAAGGAACGTTGATAGTCTGCATATGATAAATGTGGTGTACTGTACATAAATTTTGGAGCCGTTACTGACGTTAGTGATTTCAAACTTGATGGAATGGCACTTTCCGTATGAAATGGTTGCATTCTTTTTGAAATAGAATGGAGAAATTATACCAAATCCCGTTCAATTGCCTTCATCGTTACTAGACTGTAACAATGCAAGAATACCTGTCTTCAAAGATGGCCGAGTCTAGCCAACACACAGTCTATAACTTATGTATATTTGAATATACTTTACTGTACATCAATTCGTCAATGTCCTTGTCCTCTAACAGGATATACTCGTAAAATAATAAAATATAATAAGAATAGATAAATTCAATTAGATGTAGTATCTCGTATGTACCTATACTCGTATATATATATATTTCGTAACCTATATATATATAACTTGACTAAAATCGCGTAAGATAAAATCCGGTAAACTAAAGTGATACCGGGGAATTATGATATGAACTAGTCGATCTGTCGCTCGCTATAGAATTCATGTACTTTTTACTTTAAATAAATTATATTACTACCATTTCATACTGAGCATATTATATGCATATGACATTCTACTGTATATACACTAATGTACGCGTGTTATTATTTATGGAGTATTCTGATCAGTAGAACTTGTAGCTGATAAACACTGGGTAGCTGCGTCTTCTACTTTTATGAAAATAACTCGTGGAGACCCGATCGCGTCTCTACGAGTTGTACGCTATTACAATTATTGAATACTATGATATTTTTAGAACTTGCACAGTAGAGTTGGGCAATTCAGAATGTTTATTCCTTGAATATCATTTCCATAGTCTTATTGGTTATTGCAGCTGACTTGATTAAATAAAAAAACCCTTCATTCTATGACCTCTACCTAGAAGATTTGCTGTATCAATTCCTCTCTACTGTAAGCTATTTTACTCTAGTTCAGATAGAATTTTACACATGTTGAAATGTATTATTCATAAGAATACTATGGCATAATCAATGCCTTTGGTGTGCCTAAATACGAGATTTTTATAGCCAATTATTTACTTAATTAACTAGTACACCAATTCATAACCAAATGCGTAAACCATTCCAGCGGTTGTAGTGCAGCCTGCAAATTAGCTTCTACAGTATATCATGCACCGCATGAGAATCGAGTGTCCGCATTGATTCCAGTTTGCATCTATCGTTGGCTGCTTGGTTTGGCTTCGACGAGTGGCCCAGCACATTTAAGGAAGCAAATAGAGTAAAAAGACAAGGCTTTTTTACCTCGATGGCAGACCATCAATTTTGTTTCTTGTTTTGCCATCTAAGATTAAAATAATAATATAGTATTGCCGATGTAACGGTACGGACTACGGACTGACATTGAACTGGGAGTCACCATACGACTATGGGCGACCGTATACGCATGCGTAAACCGAACTCTAAAATGATTGGTCGAGCGGCAAATTTAAATCTGGACAGTCCTTATAGTGCCGATTGCGATCTTGAGGTCTTTAGAGGTCTTTCACCTGAATGATTGGTACTGATTGGGTCTGATTTGCTATCGATCGAGTGGTTGTAGAGTGTTGACAACTGAAGGCGTAGCATCGCGGAAAAGTGGAAGGATTCTGCTTGGCTCTAGACTACTTGCTACTTATATGAAGTTACCTGTTGGAAAATAGAAGAAATCAAAGGGAAATACAACTGGAAAATTATATCTCCAAGAAGAATAGCTTGTAAAGGAGCTAGGATTCGATTCATCTGTTTACGGTAAGCTAGAATACTTGGTGCTTGACTAATTGCTACGTGGATGAAGTTGCCTGTTGGAAAACAGAAGAAATTAAAGGGAAATACAACTGGAAAATTATATCTCCAAGAAGAATAGCTTGTATAGGGATTCGATTCATCTGCTCACGGTAAGCTAGAATTGCTCTAGGTCAAGCCAAGCACACGGCGTACGAATATTGTACTCGTATGACTTATTTCAAGACTAGTCACAGATAGAGAATTAGTAGTGTACGTAATCGTATTTCTTACTATCTAGAACAGTAGTCTTGATGCACATAAGAGTTCAATATTGTTAGTGTACAGGTAGCTTACAATATCAAAATCACCAAGTTTGTTGATGTAATCATACTATAAAATCTTTTGCATACTGCATTGCCATTAATAGAGATTGTCTGAATTAGAGATAGATAGAGTTTAGCAGCCTAGTGTTATGATCAATTAAATCGTTATTATGAAATCAACAAATAAATTTCCAGGAATGTTAATGCCGGAGAATTTGAAGCAATTCAATGCTACTTTAATAATACAAAATTGAAAAACCTTATAGCACATTAATTAAAAATAAGTATTGGTATTTTTGTGTAGGAAGACATATGGAATCAACTGCAAATCGTTATTCACAACAGCGACGCTATGTAGATAGCGATCGAGATATGATTTCAGCAGCTATTAAGAACAAAGCTAAAATGCAAGAAGGCAGGACACAATCAAATTATTTAGTACGTTCTAGGGTATGAATACCAGACTTTATGTTATACACTTAATGTGAACACTTTAGTACATTAACTAGCATGCAGCAGCAAAATAGGTCGAGTATTTTCTCTTAAAAAATTTATAATCATGACATTGTAAGTTCATAAAATAGCTCTAGTGAATATTATAATACTGTTAAGGCATCATTTGTAATTCTTGCTGAATTGGTTGTACACAATCATATTTTGTTTATGCTACTTTTTGCCCTGTAAAACTACTATATTAGGCATCTTATTCATGCATTCATTATAAAATGTACGCATCTATAGGAAGACAAAAGTCTACAATCTAACATCGATCATGAAATTACTATGAGGGATGGTATCAATAAGTTTCTTGCTGCAACTCAGTTAAATACTAAGCAAGCATTAGGAGCTAGTAAAAACCTTATCACCTGCAACACACGAATTATGACGTGGATGTCAATGCTACAAAAGCAGCACGAAGTCTGCTGTCGACAAGAGTATAATAAGAAACCATCAAAACAAGATAACGAATGGTACGTAAAGTATGCTGTATTGCCATATACGTAGTAGACTAAACCGAATGCCTTTATTCATTCGTTTTAGCGTTACTGCACTGTAGTAAATAACATGAAATTATTATAAGCACGTGTTCATACTTTGCAATTGATTAGAAATATAATTATGGCTGCATCTTTTTATTCAATATTGAAATATCAGGGCCTTTGAACCATGCAAAAGTAAATTGAGCTTATCAGGTAACAACTAACTACATTATGATTTGCTGGCGTAAATAAATGAAATTATTCTATTTCATTATATTGTGACACTATTGGCGATTTGTCGCTTAAAGAAAATAATGATTGCATTGAGATTAGCTGGGGGAATATATCTTAACTAACGCTGACTCATTATTCTTTAATTTTCAACTCGAAATCATTAATGCCTAGAAATCAAGATTCCTCTGCAATGGAAAAATGTAGATGTTACTACATTGAATAAAGAAAATATTGGTATGAGATGCTTCGAAGCATTAGTGATCGTTACTTCACCGCAAGGACTAAAATTCACTTTGTTCCGTTACAGAAAATCGCACTTATAGCTTATTTTGTGTATTGAAACTGGGCTCAGAAGTACTAGATACTGGTCTTATATATGATATCGATAAAGCCTTGAAGATAGTCACCTTTGATGATGTCATTACTTTGTGAGTTAGCTGATTTGTTGTACAAATTGTTTCGTTGACATACATTGAGTATACTGGGAAACTTACTGAAATAGAATCATAGCTTCCTTGATTAATAATATTAACTTCATATATAATTTATTGTGTACGCGAATATGTTAGTAACAGCGAAGTAGACAGCAAATTTATATTGGAAATTCAAGTTTACTGTGCGATTAGTTCAACCGATAGTCACCTTAAAGGCAATCAGCATAAGTCTAATCGACGAAAGTTTGGCAAATCGGTAGTAGCACGGAAAATTGTTATTTGATTTTCCCTCTTAATTAAAATTCTTTATGCCAATATTGGATGGGAAATATAATAATAGCTATTTTTGTTAATGTTTTGAACAGGACAAGGATGACGCCAATTCCCAGCTGAGGTAGGCAACATTATGGTTTGGATTGTGTTATTCTAGCTTTGTCAAGGAATAGAAGTGATATAGCTAAAACTATACAATTTTTCTTGTTATGTAATAGTTCCAACAGCTACAAATATTACGTTATTGGTCATGCTTACCTAAATCAGTCGAATGCTTCTAAGGAACCTCAAACACATATTCTGTACGAAGGTGCACCATCTGGCCTATCAGCTTCTTCTACATCAGCTTCAGCTCCATTTGATTTACCCACAACTGGTGCATTCTCCTGTCGTTTGTACATTAAGCCAAATTGCTCTGGCGAAGAAATAATTAAAGATTATATTAACGTCCAGGTTAGAGTACAACTTATAAGGTAGTTTACATTCACTACTCTTTAAAATTAGAGTCTATTGTATGTCTTAAGGTTATTAATCAAATAATTAAACCCCAGAGTCGATTTGGAAAGTGGATAATACCTTCCTAGTGTCATTTCTAAATTAATTTTTAGCAGGCTTATTTTACAACATGATATGTAGTGTACAACAATTGGTATCAATGAAATTCTTTTCTTGTAGTTAACAGTTGAAGGTATGCCTGCCTGGATTAGATTCTGGTGTTGTTTGCGTCAAATATACATTTATGGATGGATGTTTTCTGAAGATGAAGAAAAAAATCAGCCAACAAAAGTGGCATTTGAATTAACGAAAGTATGATTTTATGATACTGTAATTTGATAGACCATGTCCGCTTTACATTTTTATGCTGGAAGGGTGGATATTCACCAAAATGCTCATTTGACTTTCTATAGGATAGCAAAATAGAACGTGCACCTCGATTAAGAATGAGAAGGCTCAACTCCTTGTTACTATCGAATGTGTTATGGAATGGTAAATTAGAAGAAGTATTTTTATCTGCTGAATCAAAAGATGATCGAGATAGATGGATGGAAGCAATCAGTCAAGCAATTGCAAATATCAAAGCTTGGGGCGATCATTGTCGCAGTACGGAAAAAATTGTTCAGCCTACTCATCAAAGTAAATTATTTAAGTCTATCAGGAGCTATGGTGATATTACATCCAGTGCAGAAAAGCAAGAAATTGATTCATGTGATAGTAATATAAAGCGTGACAGTGCAAATTCAGTCAATGATCCTGCTAAAAAGCTAGAAGCACCTCCAAGAAAAACTAGAGTACGCGTTCGTCAACATGTTAGCGTGGAAGTTATTCGTGATGATATGCCAGAAAGTGGCATTGAGCGTGCTGTTGGTCGCCCTCGAGAAGAATGCCGCGGTGATGTAAGGACATCAAATGTGAGAACTCGTCGGCCAATTACTACGAGAAACGATGGATCATATTCGGATAGTCAACACCGTAGAAGAATCATTTCTGAGAAAAAAGAATATAGGGAAGTCCATCTAGCTTCTCATGGTTGCCATCAAAAGCGCTCATTCGATGAATGTTCGTCTCCCCGGAGAATAGTTGCATCTCCACGTTATGATGCTAAAGTTAATGCGGATGACAAACGACCTAGATTAATTGTACCGAAAGGAACACCTAGAAAGTACCATGCCGTACCACCTAAAGCATCTTTAAGTGAACTGGAGAATATTTAGTTGGAATTATTGGCCTGGTGGCATCTCAAGCCACCTTTTTTTTTCAATTTCGTCTTCATTTCGATATACATACTCATAAAAATGTCTTGATTTATACCAGATTCTAGTCTGTACAATAGATCACACTTATATGACTTGCAGTTGTCTTGTCTCATTATTACTAATATCACAGATTATTTAATTGATTAATGTAGCTTTTCTATCGTAATTACCATATATTTTTCATAAATTAAAGGGAGTAATGGAGTATAAGCGAAAAGTTTAATATGATGGGCTTGGTTTAGTGGTATATGGTAATCTGTTACATAAGTAATCTGATCTGATTTGATAGCACTCATTTATATATGTTCATTTCGTTTTAGTTATTGCTACCTAACTGTTATTCTATATTACGATTAAATCCTGAGTTGTGGGTAACTTTGTATACTTCACACTTAATATACGATACTACTTCCAAGTACCAGATAATCACAACAATCAGTTCAATTGTAAAATTTATAATCTCTAATACGGTATTACAAATTTGATCAGGTACTAGTGTATTAGTATAAATTCCTCATGTGTATGTATTGGTTGTAAACTATGATTATGAGAACATTGGCTAATCCTTGATGTCATAAAATACTCGTATATTATTTTATATAAAATTACGGCTAAAGTTGTAAGTACACTTTTTATCCTTCTAATATACTTGTATCATAATATCTAAGGCATCTGTACCAATAAGATCATATTATTATAAATTAAAAATTTTTTGTCTTCATAATCTTGCGATTGAAAAATGTGTGATAATATGCGCATTTCTGGTACAGTGATAACCATGATAACAGGTGAGGCATTAAATGCGCGTATATTATGATTATTGTCATCTAAGAATTTAGACTTTATCACTCCCGAGACAATTAAAGAGAGTAATATAGTAATAAATGACTAGTTGTAGTATTCAAAAACCTATAAAGATTTACGCGTAAAACATTCATCAACAAAGCTATTTCACGTAACAAAGGAGTTATTGCTGATGCTGCTGTTCCTTATTTTATGTACGATAGGGAAAGAAATTTTACAGTTGCAAAGAGTTTGCTAACTTTGAAATATAGTAAAGATCCATAGCATAACTTTATTTAGTGGGAAGTGTTGAACATAGTGATTTTATTGGCTATCTTAATTTCTTTTGCAGCAGTAGCTTTTAACTTCGAGCAAGCAAAATACGAGCTTTATTAAAGTAGCTATGATAGTCCGCCATGTTATGTTGAACATTAAAAATCAATAGAGAGTAGACTTTTGGATACTAGAAAGATAATTAGTATAATATGAAAAGCCATTAAATAAGTAAATGAAAAATTTTAGCCCATTTTCAACAACGCCTGCAGTAAAATGTACATATTAAATTTATGTCCTTTTAAGAGAAAAAAATAATATATATCACTAATAAACTATTGGAAAGACCAATATAGAAATTCTAGTGTTTAAGCATATGAACATATTATCTAATCTTATGTGGGTCTTATTATGATTAAGCAAAGCTTTATCTTGAGCTACTGCAGTTATGTATGCATATGAGAATAAAGATTTCCGATGTAGCATAAAGGATTTAAGTGAGTTACACTCTTGTAACAAATGTAATCTAAGTTACTTAAACCAGGCCTAACCAGTTTATAAATACACCTAGATTCAGCCAATTAAAGAATAACATAGGGTTTAATAACATGTTATTAGCATCATTATTGTATGCAAGCTTTTTAGAATACATAAAGCTTAATTATTCAAGACTTGCTATACACAGTTACCGGTGGGATCACAATGGTGATGACGTCTTTCCTAACGTCAGCGTTAATTATCACCATAAATTGTTTAGTCCATCTAATAAACAATAAGCCAAAATCAAATAATATTTAAAGCAATAATAAGATGATTCAATGCTACCGTTAATTATTGTATTATGATAATTGCCATTATAATTAATTGAGAGTGGTATTATTCTTTCATCTATAAAGATGCAATTACTATGACATCATGAATAGTTAATCTTAACGCTTGCTTGTGTTCTCTTTAGTAGTTCATTTACAGTGCATCTTTGTTGATAATGCATCAACTATCGATGGGCATGAGACAAAAGCAGCTATTATACAGTATATCCTGCTTCGACATATTGAGCGTCATTGATTGAAAGATAGATTAAGATAGGACAAGGAAGATTATAAATTATTGCTAGAACTTAGATTGAAATATTGTAATGTTAGTGGATGAATCCGTTGATAAATACAGGTCATTAACGTATTTTAATAGTAATTAATAAGCTATTGATGACATTATTTGTCATCGATGTGGTATGAATGAATTATCTATGAAGATAATTGTTGTTAAGTTAAAATGTAGTAAGGGTCGAATATACGTATAATTGATTGATAATGAAATGAAATATTTTTGATTAAAGTTTAGTAATATTATTATTAAATCCGTTATTAAATTAGAGTAAAAAAAAAAACTATTAGCTTCTATACTTGAAGTTAATGTCTGTTTGTTCGTTTTAGTTTAATGATTAATAAAAATTAGCTACTACATCTATAATGAAGTTCTCGATTCTCTTTATCTTATCATAAGCATGGATTTTCTTGCTACTGCCCCATTATAGAAAGCTTACATATTGTATTCCATGTTCCTACATGGAGTAAAAATGAGCTGTTCGATTTATTTTAATCTTGAAAGACATTCTTTGGGAAGATATTACAGCAGTTATGTCTATTTGGTAATGTTACCAAATGTACTAAAACACCACTCTCAAAAGCCGATCATTTTCAGAAGGCAATCATGATATGTACAATGGCTATTAAAGTATTATGTTCATATACAACGATGTCTTAATGAGTAGCTGGTCATTGCATTTATATAATCGGCATAGTAAAACTCTAGGTACTCAGTTTTACAATATTTTAAGTGATTTTAGCAATCATCCCCGAAGGCAAATTCAATCAGGTTAACTTCATGCTAAAAGAATGGGGAACAATCGGTTGTATGTACGTTGTAATGTCAGCCATATCGGTACTGCTCTATGCAACATTATCCGCGCTACAGCATTAATTTATTTTATTTAAACGGCTATCGTTATTGCTGATTAGAGCTGTATTGAGAGGTTTTGGCGTGCAAGGCAAGTGGAATACTATCCATTGTAATACACATCAGGAATTTTGATATCTACGATCTACACGTATCGGTTCATCACGTAAGTGTTAAGAGTTAAGAAAAGAAGGAGGAGTTCAATTTCTGACTAGGGGGTCAATACTCAATAGGAAGAGGAATCCTGGAGGCGAAATCACGACTTGAATCAATCAAAACTAATTTTCTTTGGCTGTATTGATGTACGAGTTTCCGGTGTACAGTTTGTTCAATCAGAATGTGATTGATGCTATAGTTGAGACGACGGGCCACTTTTGCTTCGCTAAGAACATCTAGCTATCTATCGGCCTATCCGACAATCATCTAAAATTGAATGCACAGTCAATTAATTCAATTCAATGATTGATTAATTAAGAAGAAGGCACCGAAAGCAGTACAGCACGATTATACTCGTAACGAAATCAATTTCATTCATGAAAACAATTTTGAATTGATTTTCCATGGTGATACAGTTACTGTACTGAACGACGACTGCAGCAGCAGCTGCTGTAACGCAGTGCTACAGTATCCAGTACAATCCGATTGTTGACACAATACTATGTACTGTATGATACAGTACTGTACGCAGTACAGTGTACAGTGCACAGTACTGCAATGGAGAGATACTGTACAGTGTACTGTACACACTACGCACAGCAACAGCGCGTACCCGTTGTACAGTCCATGATACTCCATCACACAACAGTGCCAGGACACTACTGTATACACTATACTGTCTATATGAATGGAAAACATTGATTTGCTAGGCACAATCATTGACAAGCCTTGCCACGGGACTAACCCGCTCAGATCAGAGTTGATGACTTGAAGAAATGACAGTTTCTCCTTCTTGTCTATTTAATTTGAAATTATTACAATCTATCCTTACATCGTATTGTCTTGCATAAGCTAGTCCGACACTTTGTAGCAACTTTAAAGGACAGCTGAAGGGTGAATTTCCGTATTTGAAAGACTCTATCCTCTTCTTCATCACGCACTGTAAGTCGATAATATATTGGTATACATAAGTAAGTGTTCAATTTGTTGTTTTGCCATTGCAAATGGTCAATGACGCTGTAGCAAGCACGGTTACACTGTACTGTAGAGAATGGCAATTTAAACTGGCATGCTTAGTCACTCCAACCAAGAAAGTTAATAAACTGACATGATTAAATAAATGTTATGAGTGATGTTGTGGTAAGACACTCAAATGGGAAATGTGCTATAAATCTTATAATGTTAGAATGATTTCTTGGCTCATTCTTTTGGAATTTGTTAGAACTATTTACCCGATGTGTTCGCTTCATATAATCCTGTTGTTTCCGATATAAATTAGTTGCCATTTGTGCAATATTGGTACGCGTCGAACGTACTGTAGTATCACTGTGACATGTCTATTGGGCACAGTCAATACTGGTTTGTCATAGAATATTTCAGTACTTGCAAATGAAGGTTAAAGTCTGACAACGCCAGTCTTTTCATTCTAGTTTCAATGTTTTACCGCTAGTGTTGGTGGTAAAATACTCTTAATCTACAACAAATACTGTCAATGCGAATAGTCCACTTGTATTGCAATGTTACCATGACCAACGGCTCCAACATAGTGTATAGTGTTCTATTCATTTTTCTTAGACATACTTTGTATTGTATGATATATATTACCCTAGTAGAGCTTGTACCAAGACTGACTCGGCATGCTATGTGGATTAGAAGATATTTACAAGACATTTTCCCTGTGTAATACTGTGATAACGTGCTTAAGTTCATTAATTAATTAGCAGCATAACCGATATCTTAGCTACTGCGCTGACTTGATCTAAATGACTTTAGCGACTTAGCGCTTTGTCCAGATAGAGTAATTACACTATAATGCGTCGATTATAGTAGAATATCCAATTAATGATCCATAGCGTTGAAAGCAATTTGAAGATATCAGTTTTGAAATCTTTTAGTCAAGCATGATGCACTTTTTATCATGTTCTACTTTGGTAAATTATTCAAAAGAGTGTTTAATGACAGGGGCAAGATATTTTCAGTGACTATTTCCAATTCAATCGATGTTGTTGTTTTTTGCCACTGGAAATACTCATCCAATGTTGGCGTCTCTACTTCCATTTTTATTGGTGTAGAGCTTAAACAACAGATAGTCAATCAATTTTTTTTGTGTGGGGGGGGGGGGGGAACTCGTTACGGGCCACCGAGTGACAGTCAACCTTGATGCACAACGTTGATCAACGGCGATAAGGATTGGTATAAAGAAAGTCGAGAGCGTCGTACAAAATGATGCCAGAATCAGAATTATCCATAAAGAACTGTATGATGTATGGAGGTTGAACGATACGTTGCTGGGCTACACCGCTTGCTGTCGTGATTATTAGGCCGGATAGAATGCCGGACACAAGCACGCAGTCCATTATGGTAGTCCGTAGGCTTTCCATGCCCATTGCCCAGTCAGAATCATGATGACGCTGAAGCAAGGTGAAGTACCCACTGCGTCAATCGATGTACTGAATTTGTCGCGGTAGTTCGTGTCTTGGGTCTGCTTCACCTTTTTGCTTGACGCTAGTCACTTTGATTGTACTCAGTGGACGTATGGACTGTACTATCCTGATACGTTGTAGAGACACGCCAAGTTGGTTGTAGCCATGTACCACGGACTACTCAAAATTTCCCAGTAGGTGATGCTTGCTGCGGTTCGACGGGAGTGACACACACACCAACTGCATTCCATTGCATGTCCTCGATCTGGAAGTGAAGGAATGGTAGAGTGATTTGTAGTTGTAGTGTTTGGGGGTTATAAATTTTCAAACTAGATACAAGTTTATATAGGATTAACTGCTTGTCCGACCATAGATTTTCATGGTTGAAGAATTGTGTTACGTCGTTATGGAAGTATTTGATATTGTCTTTGTATCTTTTCAAGTATAATTTCCCCATTGGTCCATGCTTGCTGCGGTTCGATCGTTCGACGTTAAGGACACACACATACGAACTGAACGCAATCTTTTATTATGATCGTCTACTACAATTGCACACTACTGTACACTGTACACTGTACACTGTCACTGTGCAATGGGATCCCATTTCTTCCTTCTGTTTGCATAGTAAAAACGAGAAGTAAAATACTGGAAAAAAAAAAAAAAAGACCTATCGTTATTAACCTTCCTACAGGCACATAGCTCTCTTATTGTAGAAAGGTACCCACTAAATGTATTTGTGATCAATTTTGTACCAATTGATGTCAAAATTGTAATGTCCTAGGCTTCTACTACGCTTCAAGGAATCCGACCAACTGCAGTCGATCATTCCACACAATACTGCACTTGACTAGATACCGGTATGTTGAATACGCTTTCAACGACTTCAACAGTAGCTTCTGGTAGTGATGACTAGTGCTACTTTGCTAGCTCTATTTCTATATTACGCTAGCTACGATGCCTGATGAAAGAGTTCAGTAAACACGAGTGCTGTAGTCAAAATTTCATTTCTAGTCAATAGGTAATTTACAGGACAGATACAGGTCTCTAGTAGACGGACAGGAAAGTGGTTGTAGTCCAGCATAAATGATAGTCTGGGCTAGTTCGTTAATGTGTTCACTTTAATATTAAGATGTCTTATACTTCTATAAATTCTTCCTTTTAAATCTACTCCTAATGTATGCTTGTTAAAATTATTACCCTAAACTAATTAGGACCAATTATATACTCATATCTTTAAAATTCATCTTAAATCAATTGGATGTTTAATATACCTTATATCGAGATTGCTTCAACTACAGATTGCAAGGTCAAAATTTTGGCCCCATAAGTATAACTCTAGGCTAACCAATTTTTCGATGCCATGTAATTTCCGTCATTGAACGTAATGTACTGTATCATACAAGTTGAATAAGTCGCTAATGACCAATTAATATTAGATAGCAGCAAGATAATATGGAAATGATGAGTGATTGAAGTGACATGAATGTAAAGAAGTTAGTAACACAAAGTAGACACGTTATACTCATTAGATTATATAAACAAGTACGTTATATAGTTAATAGAGATGGCCATCTCAAGTAATTATAGTAGAATGATTATAATGGATGACTTCAATAGCAACTGTAATTGTACTAGTACACCGAGTGTGACCAGAATGACTGCTATTGCTTCCCATGTAGTGCTTCAGTAGTTGGGGAGAAGTCGGCTATCATGAATTGATAAAATTATCCTGCTAACTAATGCAGTACACGACTGAGTTTGACTATGATTATATACTCGTAGAATACTAGTGAATCTTCATTTCGGCTTCACGGTGACACCTACAGTACTTGGGTACAATAGTTCGAGAACAATATTCGCTACCATTCATCTTCATGCAACGCTCGATATCTGCCAGCAACTTATATGATTGTTATATTCGTATTGATACGATGAACTTGTGGCTTTGCCAAGATACTTAGTAAACCACGACAAATTATTGCATCCGGCAAATCATATCATCAAACACATTTTGCAAAGCAGCAATAATACCGAATAAGAGAATATGCAAATTGATATGATACACTACAATAGTTGTTAGCAGCGCTCATGCTTGAATAGTTCCGTAGATCGATGGGCCTGGAATTTTTATGATAGCAGTTACAGTATGCCACATACAATGCTATCTTTTATTGACTTTTCAACACATGTCTACTGAGGTGTTTCGATCAATATTTTCTTATGACTCTCAGTACAAGTAGAGTTCCTATTTAAACTAGTTTGCTTTTGCTAGAGCAAAATGATATGTATACTAGCGACAAAGATTTACAGTATGTTGCTCAAGTACTCCTTCTTTTCCTATATATTTGTTGAATTTCTTATTTAGCAGCTAATGACTACATTTTTTTCGAAAATGACAGTAAAGCCCAATCTCGTGAAATCAACTTTTGTAACTGAACTGGATGAATGTATCTCTAATTTAGTGTAGTACTGAAGATGATAATAGTTACCGTTGCTTTGTTCTATTTTTTAAGATTTTACACTCAAATATATACTTACGTACATAACATGGGCACTGATCCTAACAATCCATTCATCCAAGAACAAATGTCTTCCACTAGTCTAAAATATATGAAAAGGGTAAAGAAGCAGGAGAGAACTTCTGCGCCATACTCTATACTATATATACGCGTATCTCAAATATTCAAACATAATAAAAAAATGGGATCGTATAGTACACTCTGATATTTTTAACTTTGAATAGATCATGTATTTGATATTTTTTTATTTATTATCATTGACGAGACACACTTGGGTTGTCAGTTATAGAATTGGATGCACTTGAAACTTGCCAATAGACGTGATTCAACATGTTTTGATTCTTGAGAAATTATCAATTAACTCCTTTCTTGGGTTTTTCACTCATGTCAAAAATTGTCATCAAAAAATACATGAAAGACTCTTTAATATATTGTTTGAAGATAACTCAGTTAATACAATAAAAAATAGAGGCTTTCTTGCATCTTAAAAACATAGTGCATATCATAATCGATTTCTGTTGGTTGTCATGTTTTAAACTGTAACTATGCCTATTAGTTATGATTTAAGCTAGGCATGATGAAGATGTGACCATCATTAAAGCTACAGTACGTTATATCTAGTGGATATTAATCATCGCTATGTACTGTACTGTCGTATTTTGATCACAATATTATTTTCTGCAAACTATTTCATGTATTAGTAGATATTGTATTATATGGTCAAATCTATTTTTTACCATTTCAGTAAACACTTATTACTTTTACTTTCTCGTCATATTATACAAATACCATTGTAATTGATTTTATTGTCGTAATGACTCCAATTCTTAACGTCATCTGTGATCTTTTGATTGGACATAAGGCTATGAGTATATTAATGAATGTTGTTAATATCACTAATCCGGTAAATAAAAAAATATGAGCACAGTAGAATATGTTTAATAACGATCATTTCAACTCATGTCTTCCCATTTTAATTATTATTATCGTATCTATATATCTTTGATTGCATTCTAGACTTGATTATTCCATGACGTTATTGAATTTATAACCGTTATTTCATGAATATGTTTTGCTTTATCGAGTTAAAAGCTTTCTACTTTAAGGAAAAAAAACAAAAAAGTAACCATATAAATGCTTCCAAAGTTTAGCAGCGCGATAAATTAGTTCGTAATTGCTACATTACCAAGCTGTCATGTAGCATCCGACAATTTGGCGCTTCGATTATGAATAGTTCATTAAAGATAAATGTGGTAGCTTGGAAATAAAAAACTATTCTCTACCAAGATGTATAGGATACCAATTTTTTTTCTTACACGTCTATGTACAGTACTGTATAACTTCGTGTACAGTATAAACGTGTCGATCACGATGAGCATTGATTGTTACCTACTTACAGACAGTATCATATTAATGGACACACGCAAAAAATTGAGTGTACGTGCGAATATATATTTATGCCATGTAATGTACTGTGTATAATATTGATACTCTCATGTCTTATCATAAGTTACCATTTTCGACAGTTAAATAGATGCACGTAATTGATTGATTTGGTGACTTTTCCTTTAAATAGACAGACATAATGTAGCCGTAATTACTTTATTATTATGTTTTATTATAATTATCCTAACTACTATTTACTGTATTGTCATAGAAATTGTGCACTTATCTTGTCTTGGTTGAAAAGAAACTGAAGGTACATTAGTTTATCATTATTAAGCGACGACGTGAGTTGACCACCTCGATGGAAGAAGACAATTTATCACCATTGGCTAACCATGCCGGTGCCAATTTGCCTCATTCACGATATTTAAAATCGAGGAGATTGTCGATTAGTGCTGAAGCTTGTAACTTTGATAGTGATGGCGAAGAAGAAGGATCTGGTAAAGATTTAGTAGTGGTAAGTCATGATAAGAGTAATGCTCGCATAATCACACTGTATTAATGCATGGTCGTCATGTTGATTAATTTTCGATGACTTATCATTTTGAGTTATCAATTTTCAATTAATTTAACTAAATGATTTCTGTTAAGGCATAAAAAGTTATATAGCAATTACTGATTTATGTACAAATCATCCTGTGACTCAAATGGTTTCTGAATTTAAATGCTGTTTCCTATTCTTTTATTTCAAGTAACATTGAGAATGTACAGTACAGTACTTATAATATTGGCGAACCTTTCTGTCTGCTGTAGCTATGCATAGTAATTATAGAATTATTATTGCAGATACCGTGTTAAAATGACTATATTTGCTAACGAATTTTGAGAACTAGACGAGTATATCTATGAGAAAATAACTTGAAGGAATAATGACATGGACATTATAGAATCTAGTGCATTTTCTGTTTTTATTTCTTTACTATTTTTTCCTATTATATAATTCTTTCGTCGTTGATAATATTCGCTATTAATTGTCGATCGACTCTTGCAGATATGAAAATATGCGTTTCAATTTCGTGACGTTTTTCAATATTGTTCACCCCGTGTAATGAAAGGACTATAGTTTATAGGCCATTATCACCGTAAAGTAGAATATAAGTTAATAAGTATTTGATATTGTGTCTTAAATACATGAACGTTACTTTATTTAAAATCAAATTTCAAAATAACATTATCGTTGCGCTAGTTCTTATGTATCTCGCATTATTCAGCGAAGCAGTAAACTTCACTATGAACTAACCATTAAATATCACAGTGAAACATATACATTATAAATTTCGCATCATCGTTTTATAGAGAATGCATTACAATATTACGTCCAAGTTGAGGAATTTTTGACAGAGGGCGAAAAACTACGATGTTATAATTTAGCAGATGATAAATTTCTGTACTGTGTTTCAAGGTCCCTTTAAGCAAATTTATTGTAGTGGCAGATACTATTAGCTTAATATATCCCCACTTATTGGTGTTATCATGCCGCACAATATAGTGCATACCTAGTAATGGAAAAACTTATTAATAAGTACTTCGTACTTAGTTTAGAAATGATGACATATGGGAGTTTCAATATACCGATATTCATATTGATACTTATTGATGCAATATTGATAAAGTATGAATGATATGGATTATTGAAGACTATGACTGTTGTATCGGGTTTCTTTTTATGTCATTTTAATATCTCAATATGCCAGCACTTACCTCTTTTTCTTTCATAAATATATTGAATTGAAAGCAAATTTACATCTTGATCGATAAAGTAAAATTCTGTCATCTTTAAGTCATTTATGTTTCATAAAGCCATTAATTAAATCATTTCTTTTTTCATTTTTTAAACGCGTTAATCTCTTGTGTGGCATACATCAAACCCGGGGGCATAAATACCGTTTTAATACTTGCAATACATTTTTGTACGATATTCTTCGACTACTGTACTATTGTTTAAAATTATAACCCTAAACTTGTATATATTATCGTATCATATTATCGTCAATCTGTTATATCTTTTTATATTTGTAATGTTCAAAAAGACCAACATTTAAAATATTGGAAAAATTCTTTTTGCAGTTGGTAAATTGCTTTGAATTCAGCGATTGCTATGATAACGAAGTAAAAATGATGATATACAGTATATTAAGGATAAGACTGCAATAAATAAATAATACCGTACTTAATGCATAGGCAAAATTATAATCATCGATATTACGCTGACGAATGTGATCGTATTTTTTACAGTAGATGTTAACAGAGTCGACATTGATACGACTTTAATACGACATTAGCACATTAGAAAGAAACCCATAGTGCATACGTACTGCGTCTTGTTTTAGGCTTTAATTCGTTAAACAATTTCTGATGGATAAGTTAATCAGTAGAAGTTGTACAGAGTTGATAGATTTCTCGTATGTGGGATAAAGGTACTATGCCATCGATGGAAGATTTGCCAGTGTATCAAATATCTGATGTTTAATATTCAGTGATTAAAGGCTACGCTTGCGATTTTTTACGCAGTTAATGCTATTTAATTGACCTATTTGTTAATTCTACGGTTTTACTATTTCAAAAATCAATCAGAACTAGTACAAAAATTAGCGTATATCTTTCTTTAATTATATCATATTGACGATGTTTGTAGCTTCAGCTAACATACCGATAAAATTTAAATTCCATGTAATATAAAAACCTTTAAATATCGTCGTTATGCAATTTAAGGTTAACAAGGAGTCGTCATGTGTATATGCTATACCGATCAGCGATTATAAATATTATTAGATGAGATTTGTTGCTGTTGCATCATTTTGCATTCCTGCCAAAAGCAAGATCAAATCGTTAAGCTGTTGGATGATAAAATTACGAATATAGTGCGACTTAAAATTGCAGCCTATATTGTACGTAGAGAGGCAATTTATTGTACAAATTACGGAAATGATATTGTAATGCTACACTTTATTTGGTATCTATGATCTGAAATAATTGAAATGAATTTTAGTCCTTTACACAGATGATTTATTACCGAATAGAGTATTTAGAACGAGCGACAAATTCGATACACCCTTCTTATGTGAAATATCAAATGTATCTACTCAATTTCAATTTGTTATTGAAGAGCAGTTATTATAGGATTCCTAAAAGCAACTTAATTTAGATGTAAATGATGTGTAATTTAATCCGTCAGTCGTCTACGGTGAAGGTGATAACTTTTTCTTATATTTTTAACTATTTATCATACCTTATTGCTAGTTATCATGACTAAATATAGAAACTCATTATAAATTATTAGATGGAGTTATATGATAATCCGTTCAGATTTAGATAAATTACTTTCAAATATTCATCATAATTACTGATTAAGTTATAAATGATATTTAATGATATAAACGATGGATTATAATTCCTCGAAACTTAATGAAAATGCATTTAATGAGAGATTTTAACTTAGTATGATTACTTCACATATACCTTATAACCTATCATTACATGTGATCTCTATAAAGAATAATTGTAATATGAATACAATTTATCGATATTTTGAAAGGGTAGGACTTTAAATAATCTATAATTATAATGCAATGATCAAACTTTTGTTTTATGTCTAGTTGATTTCTTGAATACATTTTATCAACTACGCCTTAAGATTTAGTAACTTTCTTTGGCTCTTTTTAATTGGACTTGTATATTCATAGTCTAATAACAAAACTAAAAAAATAGGGCATAAAGTTACTTATATCACGTTATCATTAATGATACTAAATATACACCGTATTGCAGACGTAATCAGCCTTGACTCTTAAAAGAATTAATTAAATCGAATACTATATATGTAATCAACTGGACGAAAATTAACTAAATACTATTAATTCTTATGATCGAAGTTAGTATTAATACTGAAGGCCTCGATTAATGAAGTAAATATCAAAAGCAGTCTAACGAATGAAATGATTGGTGATTATGTTATTATAATTATCGAAATAATTGTAATTGAATTTTAGGTATTAATCTTTTCGTGATAGTTTCCTGTAAGGCTGTAACAGTAAGATTAGTACAATAGGGTTATGCCTTCTTTGGCGTCTTATATCCTCAACTAAATGATATTTGAGTAATAGTCTCATATTGTGATATGATTCTATATCTATCAGTAGTACCGCTACGTAGTGCAAACAATATTAGAATAACATGCACCTGTTTCAACATAGTCTGGCTCTGTGGATATTGTAATAATACAATTACTGCTATTGTTACTATATTTCAAGTCAATGCAAGACTGTCATAATTGCTGATTAGCTAATAATAACGACTAGTTATTTTATTGACATTTTTATATTCCTGTCAAGTATAAAGATATAACTAACTTACTGTACTTGTGGTCAAGACATAAATAGAAGCCACATTTACATGTTATTGTAGTGGAAAAAGTTAAATCCAGATGAAACAATAACAAATAGGTATTGCTTTTAGTATCCGTTGAGTTGATATTTGTTTTTACTATGATTACATCTGAACCTATTGTCTAATTTCCTTCACCTGTTCTTGTTGTCCTGGTATTTAAGAATTAGCTCAACATTTTGGTTTACAATTAATGGGTCTTCCATCAATGATCTAACTAAAAATAACACATCTGATAATTGATTTACATTTTGTAGATTGTAATTTTTTAGCTCAGATTTATAGCAGATTTTAGCAGGAACTGAAGTGCAAAGTGATTAAATATTAGTGCTATTGACTTAACATCATCATCGTTACAGCCTGTCGTTATCATTGTATAGCTTCAACGTAATTTAAACTGCTTTTGGCTCAGGGTGGGGTGATTTTACACATAAGTAGTATAGCAGCATTTGCGCTACTGCAAGGTTGCTGACACGTATATAGATGCTATAAATTCATATAGTATATCATTTTTAGCTGAAATCCAATCTATGTTTTATAACAGCTAATATTGTTAATTCTTTAACTGATTTAAAATTTTTAAATTTTAAAAAGAAATTATTCCTGTAGAGAAATATTTAAAACTTATTATTACCTTTAGGTTAAACATCCTAAAAGTGATGAACAGTTGGCTCGATTAAATAGTGCAATTACCAAAACCTTCGTTTTCAAAGCATTAAATGATGAACAACGTGAATTAGTTATTGACTCAATGTACGAGAAGTGTGTGGCTAAAGGTAAGAAATATTAAATATCAAAATCGGGATAATTGATGGCATGCATAGCTGAGCATCATACCGTCTTTATGAATAATTATAACAACCGCTTGTATATAGAATAAATGACCGGAAATTAGCATAATGTTATAATGTTACTCCATAATTTTATATCGTTATGTAAATAGGTTATGACGATAGTATCAGCTTTCTGTACTCATTCTTACTGTGGGAATTTTTGATACAGTGCACAAAGCTTTATCTAAAGTATATGAAACGATTTATTATCATTAGGAAATGACGTTATTCGTCAAGGCGATGATGGCGATAATTTCTATATTGTTGATGCCGGCATTTTTGAAGCCATTGTTAAACGAGACGGCAAAAGTGAAGTTGTCTTCAAATACGATAATTCTGGTAGCTTTGGCGAGCTAGCATTGATGTACAATACCCCCCGATCGGCCACAGTGCGTGCTTCTACGGACGGTGTACTATGGACTTTGAGTGGTGAAATGTTCCGACAAATTGTCTTAAAAGCTGCTCGAAAGAAGAGGGAAGAATTCCGTAAATTGTTACAATCTGTAACCATATTGAAAGAACTGAGTACATACGAATTGGAAAATGTTGCGGATGCGTTAATTTTAAAAAAGTATAAGAATGGTGAATGTATCTTTAAGGAAGGTGATCAAGCGTACGAATTATACTTTGTATTAGCAGGTGCGGTCGAAATCCGAATGCTTGATAAATCAAACAGACAAAGTGGCCAACAAGTAAAAATAACAGAGTGTCCAGTTGGCAGTTACTTCGGCGAACTTGCGTGGCTAAAAAAGGATCCTAGGGCAGCATCGGCCTATGCTCTTGGTAATGTAACTTTAGCTGAATTGGACGTTTACGCATTTGAACGTTTACTCGGCCCTTGTCGCGAAATTATGGAAAGAAATGCCAAGGCATACGAAAAACCATTAATTGAGAAATTTGGCTCGTTGGCAATGTAAAATTAAGACTTCAGGACCAATTATATTATCATAATGTTGCAGCTAGTGATGCTGTTAGGGTAGGCAACCATTCCAGCTGTTTCAAATCGACCGTAGTTAGTTTTATCTACCATAAGAAAGCGATTTTGACACCGACAACATCGACGAAAAATTTAATTTCGACAAGACTATTGGCAATTTCTCGTAAAAAATGTGTATTTGTATGTAATATCTTTGTCCTTACATGTAGTATAATTATTTTAGAAATTATCCAACGTGTGGCAATCGATTGCTGAAATTATAAAATTTCGTAGCAAATTTACATTACTTTAGAAAATATATCAAGGACATGAATTGTGCTATTATAAAGTGCATTTACGATATCAGTTGATGATCGTTGGTTTGAGGTATTAATGAGCAATTTAAGGTTTACATACTTTGATGTTGGCCAGCTAATTATTAATGATATTTTTAGTTAGTGACTGTTGATAAAGTATTACGAGTTAAATTTACTTACCAATTGCTAAATGTCAAGTATTATATTTAATGTTTTGACTGATAAATGATACCATTAACTGCAGTATTTACATGTTAGTATCTTACTGTATACGTGTATTATTTACCAAGCAAGATGGTACAACGTGATCTAGGCACAAGACTTGGTATTATATTACACCATCATCTTGGAGCTACTTACAGTCTAGACAATGTGATGATACGCTGTAGTATCTAACGATAACGTTTGTAACTGTAAGCCGTTGATGACAAAGATATTTTCTGGCTATTTTGTCGAGGAATGTATCTGGTTTGTGTATCATGTTTGCTGTAGTTAGTGAATGTAGCCGCTATAGTATGAGCTGGTATGAATGATTTGTTCCGGATATACAGTAGTCAGTAGTTTACGAGACAAGTTGCTATACAATCATACCAGTATTTGTTAAGTACTAATAAAATGTAATCGAGCAAAATTGTATTGGGATATGACGGTAACATTTTCTTACTTGACCTGCTATGATGGAGTGATATATGTGGACTACTAAAACACCAAGGACGTGACAATCTCTACGGTGAAATACCATACTGTATGAGTCCAAACTTGATACTGTACGGCGTATTATAGACTTATTGCATAAATTAACATACAAATTGCTTCATTTTGGAATCATGCGGTAATTATGATTTCACTTTTTAGCGTTCAAATCATGAGTGAATACTGCTAATTCTAAAGCATATGAAATGCGAGTTATTAATTTAATTTCTAATTAGATTATAGCGGTAAAATGTTAAAAAGCGCTGTACATCTATTCATTGCAAAAATGAATAATAGGTTAGAAGCGTCGAACGGTATTTTTGATGGATCTTAGTCATTGGGCTGCTTTTCGTCCGACTGTCATACTAAATGCTGAGCACGCTACTAGATTTAAAGAACATAGCAATGGCACCGTTGTGAGATTCAGCATTTTGCGTACATAACGTTATGAAACTCCGTATGTTGATGTGCCCTCGATTCCCCAATCAATATGAGCATTCAGGACTGATAGAGGTACTGTAGGAGAAAAAGCCTCACTTATACGTATATTTTCATGCATATACTCTGCCGCAGGAAGCATATATAGTAAGATAATCTACCTGTAAATTTTCTTTTAACGTACTGCTTTGTGCTGAATACGACAATTTCATTTGAACGGGAAATTAAGTAATGTATATAATTGGTCTAAAACTAAATGCAGCGGTTCTAACCCTATTACTGTACCGATAATTTCCCAACCCGCCCATTAATCCTATTGATAATTCCCCTACCCTAAAAATTATTAAAATAATTTTTTCAACAATTTTAACAAAAAATAGCTTTAACATGAATGAACTCGAAAATTAAGGTAGTACAGAGGTATAGGCTAGATGAGCATAAGCCTGCAGTGTAACTGACTGACTGTCCTGCAACAAAATCGAATTTGACAAAGGCATATAAGCATATTTTAACTCCTTAGTATGAAATTACTGTTCCATATTAGTTTCTAAAATTTACCGATAAAGATTAAAAATGAAAATAGTGACTAGTTGATCACAAGAGTTGACCATAGATTTTACGAGTGGCTAAGGAATGCATTTAATTGTGAATCTGTCTCAAATTGCGGTTATGCTTGCTCATTATGGCTAGTGAAAACATATTTAATCTGTGATAATCATAGACTCTAATAATTAATAACTATAATGCGCGTAGTAGTAAAGTATAATATTAAATTTAAGAAAAATCAACCGGCGACTAAGTGATCCGATACTTGTCTATCGGGTAATTAATGAAAAGGGAAACTTAATAATAATTCAAGTAAACAGTTCGCATAAATCATTGTTTTTATCAAAAGACGAATGGATTGAGAAGTAAGTTCTGGAAGATAACTTGCCTGTGCAACGGTAGCGATCTGAGCTTACACTAAATGTTGTGGCTACGTAAATAATGACCACTTGCAAGAATAAATTAGTAATTCTAAGGTTTAAAGTTAAAAATTACTTTTGATCAGATTTTAACGGTAAGAGTATAACCATGTTATTTCTTGCAATTTTTCTTTAGTTCGATAAATAAAATAAAAAAGACTACCATCAAGTGTATTATTGAGATTCACTTTATCGGTTTTGCTTAATAATTGCCAATCTGCTTGATAGCGAATGACCAATTTTTTTATTTTTCGTTACGAGCCATAGACATTAAAGATACATAATAGTTTATTGTGCAAAAACTAATCAATGCAGCAATCAAAAGGTGTAGCATTCACTGCTGTATATGAATAGTATAAGTAACAGTGTGAAATATTTGTGATTACTAGCTACTTTTTTTATCTAATAAATGATAATTAAAACAACAGCTTTGGTTGAAACTTTCAATTTATCGTAAGCTTGAGTCTAAAGTAAAGGCTGTAATTATTATTATAATTATAAGGAAGCGTTAGTATAAGCTGTAAAATAGTTCATTTGTTAGGCTAATTCATTTCTCTCGATTGATTAGCTATGATAACGCGTTCTGGTTGTAATAACTTTTTGCTTGAAATAATCTATGAGTTAGGTACCGGTATCTAGTCCAAAATAGCTAAGCTGCATCATCATCGAACTTATCAAGCACTTCTAATCCAATCATTAGATTTTGCCTCATATGCATCGTCCCAATCGAAAGAGGTCTTTTGCTGTTGCATAGAAGTACTGATCCAATTACTCGATTTTGCTTCATACGCATCGTCCCAATCGAAAGAGTTCTTTTGCTGTTGCAGTGAAGTGCCTGCCCAATCATTCGATTTTGCTTGATAGGCATCGTCCCAATTGAAAGAAGTCTTTTGCTGTTGTGAAACAGGCCCTACGAAAGCGTTCGATTTTCCTTGATAGGCATCATCCCAATCGAAAGAAGTCTTTTGCTGTTGTGAAGCAGGCCCTACTAAAGCGTTCGATTTTCCTTGATAGGCATCATCCCAATCGAAAGAAGTCTTTTGCTGTTGTGAAGCAGGCCCTACTAAAGCGTTCGATTTTCCTTGATAGGCATCATCCCAATCGAAAGAAGTCTTTTGCTGTTGTGAAGCAGGCCCTACTAAAGCGTTCGATTTTCCTTGATAGGCATCATCCCAATCGAAAGAAGTCTTTTGCTGTTGAACAAAATTACCTAATGCAGCATGTGAAAGGTGTCTAGCAAAGCCGGTTGAAATTATGTAAGCGTACCATATAATCATTACCTTGCCCCACATATTTGCTAAAAATGCTGATTTACTCCAATTCAAACCTGAAGTTATAAAGAATCGCTGTTATGAGTGTGGGTTTAAGCTAGCTAATCAAGTCAATCAATAAGTTTGTCTTATATATGCTTATTTTATGTGGTAGTTAAATTAAAATTATACCAACGATTACCGATTACGTCTTTTATTCATATTGATATAATATGGTCTTGTTAATAGAATTAAGTAATTGCAAAGTTCAATCTTAATGACAATTAGAATAGAATATAACCTGTTCACAAGTTGTAGTATACTCAAATACGAGGATAATGTAGATGATGCGTTTAGCTGAATAAATGGACGTTTTTAGCAGGCTTCATTTAGTGCTGCTATTTCTATGATCTTAATCTACATTGTTTACCGTCCAAAATTAGAATTTTAGATGTTAATCAAAATACTATTTGTAGCATTGAATAAGCATTCTTACAATAACTAAATATCTAATTATGTATTGCTCATCCAATAATTAAGTTAGCTAATTGCTAGTTACTTATGTAAGATATTAGTCAATATTACAGAATCTCGGTATTTTAGTAACATAATAGAAATATAACATGCTTCCATCTGGTTAACATTGATATTAAATCTAAATCTAAATATAGCTGATTAGCTTAATTTTAAATCTTCTTTAAACAAAGATATTCTAGTTAATTGTGAATTTTAAATATTTATTAATGCTTCAAATATTACGTCTATTCCTAAATGTCCAGTTATATATATTATATAGGATTTTCATTCAATTTTAATTTAGATATTCACTCCGGAGATAATTTCATTATTGAGTTACGAATTGAGTCGTTTTGATTTTTGTACTATGGAGAATTTTAGTACAAGTTAAATTCATAAACAAATTTAATCGCATAAACATCTGCTCTCGAAGATAACCGCTACAAATCAGTTAACGCTTGGTATTTGAAGTACTACATATGCTTCCAATAATTTTTCAGCATGTAACTACACTATTCTTAGTAATCATGTAAAATTTAGTTTTAGTTGGGCAACCCAGCTGTAAATTGAGTCGCTACTTCAGTTTTTCCTCAGCAATACGTTATAAAATTTTGATACTAATCAACGCCAGTTGCCATAATGATATATGATATATGTATATTGATAGCGATATCTTTGTGCGGTTAAATTTGTTAATTATTATATTGCACCTTTCTAGGGCTGTAACTGTGGACTAGGAATAAAGTTATGAGTAGCTCTATGACCTCATGTTTCATTCTCGATCCATAAGTATAAAACATGACTTCCTAGTAGATCTAAACACTGAATCAGACCTAAATTGTCCATACCTATAAGCTTAATGAAATTATGGTCAAATCTTCTTTAAAATCTGATTGATCATTTCGTAACTAGATTAATCAATGCGTAGGATTACCGTGTCCTCTTATAAAGATGAAAATTAATATTAGCTTGCTTACTTGCTTGTTACAAATAAGGAAGCTGATCAAGGATTTACTGATGTGTCCAAGTACTCATGCCTTGATTATAATTTTTAAGCTACCCTGTAACGATGAAAATTGAAATTACTGTACCTTGCAAATTATAAATAGGAGCAGTAGATCAATATTTTAATAATTCTTCGCATTACTAATAACTTGATTACTATGCCACTTAGCAAACATGAAAATTGAAATTCGCTTGTTTACTGTAAATAAGAGAAAACGGATTAACATTGCGGTATCTTTTCGTATCAATCTTTTATCTTGTCAGCTACGAGTGAGATGATGTTTTCATGATATCATCCAAATTTTATTCCTTCTAGTCATTATTACCGTAAGTATTAAATTTCAAATGCTATTCCACTAAGTATAAGCGAGAGACTTTGATATCAGCATATAAATCTTAAATATTACTAATTTAGAAACTATAAAGGGGTAAAGATATCACAAACCCTGTAACAAGTAGAAACTTAGACCAGGAGCAGCAAAAATTATTAATGCCTGTTACCAAGATGTATTGTTACTGAGCTTCATAATGATATAAATTTAATACTCCCTGGCTATTTAGCTCCTCAGGAATTCTAGTAATAGATAAATAGATGGATCTATTGATGGTTATAATAGACCAAATTTATAATACCACGCGTTTATTTCTTAGCCATTATACATCTCCAATTCACTATGATGAAGAATATGAAGACACTGCAGTTAATTGATAGAAAGCATCACTGACTATCCGTGTCTGATCTTCAAAATTAATTATCCTAAACTCTATCATAGCATTATTTGTTACTATTTGCTTACTTAAGAATTAGTATCAGTGAGTTTGAAGTAGATTAAATGTTTAATTCTTGAATTTATTCATAAGCGGTCTCATATCTCTAATTAAATAGAGCGAATGATATAATTAATACTAAGGTACCGTATGGAAGACTTTTTTAACGGAAAGTAATCGAAATTTTATATCTACATCCAAGATTTAGTGTGACTGAGCTCGATATAGCGCAGATCTATTACCTGCATCTTTAAGATTAGGCATCAAAAGATTTCATGATAAATCAGTTTATAACGTCCTGAAATGCTGTTTCACTGCCAGATATCTTCAATTTAATACTGTATCTGCATATTTAGAGATTATTATCAAAAATTTCTCACAAACTATATAGATACAAGATTAGGGATTTATTCAGGAGATGCATCATGGACTACTAGATATACCTGTACATCTAGTAGTCCATAGCTGCAGCTCACATATAATTCAGAGATATGAGCATGGGTAGTTACTGTTACTAGAAGAAGAAAATAATACCTAAACGTATTTCAATACACAGTTACCACGGCATCATTTACAACGCTCTACCGTGGTATAATCATGCAACATATTAATCTTGGTATTAAAATGTAGATACACTTTATTTAATGCTATAGTTTGTTAAGCACCGTTGTCATAATTTTAAATTATGAGGATCAAAGAGCTACTAAATTACACAATATCTAAGTCCCAAATTTACCCAATATGGTACATATCAGGAGATAGGCTAAACTATGGACCCTGTGGATGAAGATTTTGATATAATTACGGTACTTGTTCAGACTATTGCTCAGTAGTTATTGTCTAATCTTTTAAATATGTTGATAATGCAGATATACTCACTACTAATTCCATGCAAAACTATGAGTTTTCAAATACGATCATAGAATTACTTATTATACAAAATTTAGCTAACTCTGTGTTACTTTAAATAGAAATTTGCCAGAGGATTTTCATCTAGAGTTAAGCTAAACGTTGGTCATCTATGCTTTTTGCCTGTAGCTCATGTATAAGAAAAATAGAGCTACTAATTATTGTATTGAACTATGAGTCCATAGAAATAGTGAAGCAACTGTTATATACTATTATTAAAATGTAGTCTGTGTATAAAAAAGGTGCTAATAATTACTGTCTAGAATTATAAATCTATTGAAAATGTAGAAAGTATAAGATATTACGAAATTGCTCTTCATGGTTAAGGAAAATGGGTACTGCTCTAATTATTATCTTGAACTGTAAATCTATGGATAATAAGTAGAAAATGTTCAATATTATTAAAGTTATAGCGTCTAGACATGCATATAGTTCATCATTTCCTAGGCGAAATCTTAATATCTTCAGCATTTCAATATTAACTTTCTTCCACAAATAAAAATTATCAATCTTTGTTGTGTTCACAAGCTACATATTTATTGATGATTAATGGTAGGTTTAAACGCCACTGATATAACATACGATATGTACGCTAGTTTAAAGATCGCAAAGCATAATATCATACTAATAGCTTTTGCTAGATGTTTATCATCTCTAGCGAATGCTTACGCAAATATTAGTCGTTAAACATCACGTAGAGGAAATACAATATGGCTATTAGTATAATTTAATACAGCTACTTCATAGAGTTATGATCGACTAGCATAAAGAAAGGAAATATAGGTTATGTGCTATCATCATCTTTAACAACCACTAATACTTAAGGCTACTAAACGTATGTGGCTTAAGAAGAGCCCCAGAGTCTAAATAACACGATGGAAATCAAATACTATTGAAATTATTTTGGGAATAGTGTCAGGATTAGTTAGTCTAGTTAGTTGTCCATCATGTTTCTGATATAAGTGAGCCAGAATTGAATCTAGCATAAGGGCCTATTGCTATATTATGTTTTAATTACCCAGAATAACTTTGAAGCAATTTAGCTAGGGGAGCATAGCGTTGTGGATCTGTACGCATTAAAAACGTCAAAATCTGGATGATTTTATCACAACCACAGTTTGATTGGAGCAATGGGGTACCAGGTCCTCTTGATTCAAGCAATGGTGTGCCAGGTCCTCTTGATTCAAGTAATGGGGTACCAGGTCCTCTTGATTCAAGTAATGGGGTACCAGGTCCTCTGGATTCAAGCAATGGTGTACCAGGTCCTCTGGATTCAAGCAATGGTGTACCAGGTCCTCTAGATTCAAGCAATGGTGTGCCGGGTCCTCTAGATTCAAGTAATGGGGTACCAGGTCCTCTGGATTCAAGTAATGGAGTACCAGGTCCTCTGGATTCAAGTAATGGTGTACCAGGTCCTCTGGATTCAAGCAATGGCGTGCCAGGTCCTCTCGATTCTAGAGCAAGGGGAACTGCAAATGCAAGGTCGTGGGAAACGAGCAAAGTAACCATCAACATACACAAGAGCTTGGCCATTTTCTAGCTAGTTGTTATAAAATTGGGGAATACGAAAATTCTCAACTTCACTTAGTAAATTCTTAGTTTGCAACAAATGATGGATTTGCTGCAATTAGCTACCGGAGATGCGATTTAATGGCCAAAGGTTATGAATATGTCCCTTAAATAAGTTTCTTGAGGGGCTAATTGCGATTCTTTGGCTAATCATTACTAATTACATTAGAAATAAATTGAATTAAACATTAATATATCGTATTACCACATGCAGATATATTATTTACAGATGGTCTCTAAACGATGTAATAAGATCAGAAGTCCTATTGATCTTTTATTCCTTGTTCTGATAGTGCCATAAAATAACAAAAATAGCAGAGAGTACCTTTCAATGTATCGTAGACATATAGTCTTCTTTACAATATAGAGGATAATAAGCTATCTGAAATCTTACCATGTATACTGTATATTCAAGTTGGCAAATAGGATCACAAATAATATAATTATAATTTGACAGCAGTAGCATAGATCATCTCTACCTCCTTAAATATTGGATATTACACATCATTTTTATTTAAGCTAGACAAACTAGATTAATAAATTAAGGATGAATCTTAACATGGGATTCCTAGTGAGAATATTACGTCAAAGTTGGCGTAAATCATAATGGCTCATTTTAGTAAACTCTATTAAGCGAGGTATAGATGCTACTATAGCTAGAATATTAACTATAATTAATATTTTAAAGCATATTTGTCAGAGGAGAAAATGTGCTGCTAATTATGTTAAATTACTTGTACAAGATATTTAAGCCAGATACCGCATAAAAGAATCTTTATCAAATCAATTTTTTACAGATCTTCCATGTCTGATCGTTTAAGACAGTCGCGTCTGGCAAAAATTGCATTAACAAAGTTATGTTCCTGGTTGAAGGTGATGATTATTACACCATGTGAAGAATATCGTTAATTTAGTTAGATAAAAATAGATTCTTATTATAGCAATATACGCATCAGATGGCAACTACTAATAAGGTCCAACATATATTATTCTCAAAAATAGTTATCCCTTGAGTCTTGACTATAAGTCTATCGCAACATCCTGAACATACCTTGATATTGTTCATGTATGGCTACGTGATATTTTAATTTATGCCAAAACTGAGCATATTGATCGTTTAAGCTGTTTCTTGGTAAACAATTCGAAAGCTATATATAGAGCTTCGTCATTCTCTAGATTACTTATGGACAGCAAATAAATTTACCTCCAGTGAAAAATAAAGGTTATGCTGATAATAGGAATGTTTGGATTGCAAGTTTGCGGATTAGTGCTTACGTAGGCATTTCCCGAAAAATAAAATTTCTTATAATCGTCATAGGTGTAATTATTGATAGAAATATCTACTTATTAAAATTTGATTTAAGCTACAATGCTGGTATGCAAAATAAATTGATATTGGATATTTAATCATTGAGATAGGCTAATTATTCACTTTTTACTGGTAGAAGTGTACTTTATGTAGTATTTCATCTTCTTATTAATTAATTCTATGAATAACATTAAAAGGCTAGCTAAGGTAATGTAGTGCCTATGAATTGCAATAGAGAATAGAAATTATTTGAATTAGATTGAGAAATAACCATGGTATTGGTAGACATTGGTGATGATCTCAATAACGATAGTTACTGCACTGTACTACTTACTGTATTACATAATTAGCTGATACATACTGTATATCAAGTGCCGCAATCTTTTGAGATATTTTAATCACCTCGAGACAAAAAATGGTCGATTTCGGCTCATGTTTAGTCAACGGTTATGAAACAGAATGATAATACCCCTAAACGTAGATTTATGATGTTTATCAATTGTATTTGTGTCCAATAAACGTAATAATTGCGCTGATTAGAGAAATTTCTAAAATGTAGGAAATGGAAACAGTTTCGATTTGCAGATTAATATTTATTTTGGTATTTACTGAAAATTTTGAACATTCCCGATTGTTTAGGATAGGCATATGATCGCTTTCAAATATAATCTACGCTTAATAAACAGAAATGAATGTAAAATACGCGTAAATCATAGCTGACCATTTGATTTGTTCCTCCTTTTCCAGCAAAAGGCGTTTTTAAGCAGCATTTCATTCTTGTATTAATACGGACGTTAAGGATTGCTGATATGAACTGGCTAGCTAAATAGAGACTTTAGGCTTTGGAATATATAGAGTACTGCAGCTTGAACTTAAGTGAGAAATAGCTATAGTACTGCTCAATAAAAAGTAATGGATGATCATTGAACAGTAATTAGTGCTTATAGGAGTCAAGACAGGAATTGAAGATATTATATACTATGGCGTTACTGCAGCTATTTTATGCATTCCATGACTATTTTGAAACGATTAGACTACATTTGCCCATGATAAATTTAGATCAAATCAGTATTACATTTAAGGATCAGTGATTTATTTTAGACCTAGATGGCTTCTCATTTAATCCAGATCACTAAATTACCAAGTATGATTATAAAAATAAACCGTAACTTTCTTATTTCAATATTTATTTCGGCTCTAATGGTATGTTTTATGGGCTCCATCTCATGATTTTCGTTACTACAACATTTGTCACACACCGATACTTACCAATTGCATCAAACCATTTAATTTCGTTTGCAGTTACCTGTAGCTGAGCAGTGGGAATTGAATTTTAAAATGAAATTAGATGACTGTTCGAATAAACTAAATTTATTATACTGCATCCTGTCAAGCAGGTCGTCCACTGTATTGCACAATCATCTTATCTCCATAATTAATCGTACCTTCTAAAATAAAACTGCTCCAGAATAAGTATTATAAAAGTTTTCTAGCATTACTACTATACGCGTATATGAAGTTTGCATACTGGCAAAAGGTATGCTGCGGTGCAATAGCCTACATAATATAGTGCTTCATTTTACACTACTATAACATGCTTTTATCACACCCAACTACTGTAGTTGTGTCCCAGCCATATGATAATTATTAACTGTTGAATAGAAAGTAACTATTTATTGTATGCAGTAGTTTTAATGTCTGATATTAACAAACGAGCTGTCAATGAATTTTAGTTACACAATCAACTATAAACATGACCAACGCCAACGTTGTTGAAGCCTCGAAATGTTATATTCTAGTAATTATGAAATAATAATCGCAATAATTTTATTATATGAATAATGTAATACAATCATTATAATAAACTGACAATCATTATAAAAGATTGACAATCATTATAAAGAGATTGACAATCATTATGAACGATTGTATTACAATATGCATCAGAGAACCTGTGTATGAAAAATTAGAAAAAAACAATAATTTACAGTTATTATGCTATTAATATAAAAGGTATTATAATAATTAAGAATAAAGATTAACATTTATTTCTTTACGTAAGAACTATAATGCCTTAAGGCAGCTAGACTGTCTTGTAATGGATTTAAGTCACCATCTGTGTCTTTGGTATCATTAATTCGCTTTGCATATCCTCGCATTATCAACGTGTTTTCGATTTTGATAAGCGATGATTCTTTGGTGACTTGTAACTGAACATCATACGTACCGTCGTTAGATATCGAAATAAATCTGGCTTTTAAGTTTCCTAAAGTAACTAAATTCCGAAAGGAGGAGATTGATTCCGTATTCCATTCGCCGTCTTGCAGCGTTCCTATACATTTATGAAGGCTACATTGCATGGCTAACGGAGGTACAGGATCGGATTCATTATAATTTGCTCCAATATCTGCAAGACTAATACAATCAGTGGTACCATAGTCAATATTGAGCACAGCTGCTTGCTTATTTGGAAGAAGTCTCATGATAAGACCACGATACCACCCACTACTTTGGGTGCCAATAAAGTATATCTTTCCAACAGAAATACCTTTGTGCCCAACTGTTTGCATAGCCACCTTCATGTTTTCTAGATAATGTTTATTCATTTGTCCAGTTTCATCACAACAATGCAACCAAAATAATCCTGGATTGATAATATTAGTAACTTCCACTTTAATTAGATTCTCAGAAGATAGTAGATTAGCTTGATTTATAGGTAATAATGATTCTTTTATCATTCTGTGGAAGCTATGGATCTTACAAAGAAATCTATGAGAATCCCAGTTTAACTTACACAGATTTTTCTCAACTAATATTCGATTAATATTAGTTAAGCCATTCTCATTATTAACAAATAAATCAATATGATAGTTGTATTCATCTCGTAAAATTATTTTTGCTTTTAATAAGACGTTTACATTTAAAACTAATCCTTTAAACCAATCAACTATATCAGGGACCCAGCTTTCACAATTATCTGGATTGGTAATTCCATATAACGTGCAAGGATAGATGGAAGCATAGGATTGTGCAACTGATTTGAACAAGGGTTTAATTTCGTTCAAATCAATAGTTTGCACAATCCCTTCATCAACACAGTGTATTTCAGCATTCTCGTTACCAATAGTATCAATTATTACGCGACGCCAATGTTCGGCAAAAAATGCACTATAAGCTTTGCCACATGATAGCTCATTGATATTAACAGACCTGACGTTCTTGCTGTATCTTTTGTCCATAAGATCTCTTATGTCACTATATTGTTGTATTTCACGATCAGGTTCCAACGATTTGACTAGAAAATAGTTTGGGTTTACAACATCGGTAATAGCTATGTCTATTGTTGCACTGACTACTAGTTCCTCATAACTTAATGAATCAATACATTCGTTATCGGTATCTGTACTTGCCTCTTCGAGATTATTGTTACGATTACTTAATATAGGTACATTGGTAGATGCAGTATTTTGACCTCGAGTTGAGATATTATGGTCCTCCGTTTCTATAATATTTTTGTCCATTGATGGAACAGTTTCTTTCAAGTTAGGGTGTCCAGATGCTGCTGATAGTGAGCTCTGGGTATTGCTCAACTGTTCACTTGTTGAGCGAATAGATTGTAATTGATTATCCGTAATATCCAATTGTAGCATTGTAAACTCTTTTACTTTGTCTTTAGCCATTAATATGTTGCGAAGAAATTCCGAATTTTCAACGTTGAGAAAGGCATAACGACTTCTACTCACTTGCTCATTTAAACTTTCTTGTAAATTATCAGGTAAAAAGATAATAACTTCAATTTGATTGCTAAATTTTTCATCAATAACAACGGCATATAAATGCGAGGCTGTATCGAGAAGTGCAGCAAGATGTCTTTTGCCTTCGATTCTTGCACTACCATCTAATGTATCTGTTCCGTAAAGCTTAAATGGATAAGGACCAGATTGTGTGTAATGTAAATATTCAGGCAGTTTATAGAGAGAATTTAGGTTTACATTCTGGATACTACCACCAGAATCTATGAAAGCTACAGTAGTGACAGTATCCAACGCTAGCACACGTACTCTATGCAGTTTGTTTGTAACCACGCCATATATTCGACCTACTTTAACTTCGTTACTATTTATTTTTACCCAACATTTCGATGGGTATATAGAACCGACAATATCACCCAGCTTGAAAGCCTCAGAACTAATTTTTCCCCAAAAGGAACATCCGTCATTACACCAGGTAGCAGCTAGTGGAAGTACCATGCTATCTTTATTCGAGCTATTAATTGTGGGATAATTAAAGTCGTTATATGATAGATTGTCGTGAACATGAGGATCAACACTTTTATTGTTATTTCCAGTTGTAGCTCTGGATAAGGCAATTTTCTTTTTGGGAGAATGCCTTGCTTTATTACTAGGCGCTTCATCATTCGAAAACAACGAATTGTTAGTATCTGACGTTTGGTGTGCATCGACAGTGCTTCTTTCCATACTTCGGTGTTTACTGGATGTTTTACGGTGATCGATCTTTCGTACATCAGATGTTGAAGATTCGTAGCTACTAGAATCTGGATATCCATCGTTGATACTAGATGAACGCAAGCTTCTTGTTATACTATCAGTAATATCTTCAGAGGTCAATTTGCCGTCAATTTGACTATCAACTTGCTTTGCATCCTTATTTAAAGGAGTATTATTTAAGTCACGCCTTGCATCGATAGATTTGCCTGCAATATAAATTTATAAGATAGCAAGATTTAGCATAAGAATTGCCGAATGCAGTTCAAGTATCACAATTTAAATCACAACTTACTAGATGCATTAATTAACACAGACGATCGCCAAGAGGTATTGTTTCTGGTATTTGTGTCACTTTCCATTTCATCTACTTGTACATTATTTGTAAAATTTTTTGCAGAACTGTTAGATAGGCTCATTTCTGAAGCAAATCTGCTTAAAAATTTCTCAAATACACGATGTAATTTTTCCAAGCGTTTATTTTTTTCTGTTTCAGATCTCGTTGACCATGAACAACTTGTAAATAGAACGTTTGATGGCATTAAATTAGCAGCATGATAGCTGGCGAGACCATCAATTTCGCTTGAAAATTTGATAAATCTAAGAAAATTGTACACGAAAAAATTTAGAATAGCTTAGAACTTGTCTTACGTATTATGTTTTATGTCGAAATGAATGAAGTTGGGCATTACAAAGTTATCTTTCCATCATCCTGCTGATCTTTCTGTTCTGACCATTCGTTGATTACAAGGCCAACTTTATCAATAGCGACCAATAACACTTGCTATGATGTCCAAATATCATGAGAATAGTGATGTAAATTAAGTGAGATTAATTCAAGCTTACATCACAATGACAAGTGATAATAATCTCATTCAATTTATAGTCACTATAGACATTTCATAACGGATATCGTCACATAATGATAACTACCTTAGAAATTATGGTATTAGAGTAACAAAATTGAATTTCACAGTCGTTCTTGACAGAAGCTTGACCAAATTTTCTGTGAGCTAATACTCTACGTCTTAAACATTCAAAGGATATATTGCCAAAAATTAAAACACTGATAATTCAACAATTCGAGTATAAATGATAACCATATTTCTATCATGATCATTATAATATAATTATCGGCATTTACATTTTCTTTAAATTTTTTTGGAAATCTGTCGTTGTCATCAGTATTTTGTAAGGATGATTGAAAGCAAGTTTAAAATCAATCATCCACTCCTTTAGGGCGTCCTTTTGAGATTGTGGGCTAATCAAGTCTAAAGTAACGTCTAGTTTTTGACCTTCAAGCTTGTAACGATTCATCGCAGCTATAGCTGCAAAGGTAGATTCATCTGATACATATACAAGTGTCCTAGTTGAACAAAAATAACTCTCTTAGTTGTCCTGTATAGTACGGCAGATTGCATTAACAAAATCATTATTGTTTCTGATAACAAAATTTTCACAAACATGTGCCAGTTGCCCTTTCGAGAGTATTCACGACCACCAAGAATTTTAATTTTTCCAAAATTTTCAAATATTTCTTTAATTCTTTCCTAATTAAGTTATTTGATATGAATAATAACATTAGGGATGTTATACGTATGAAGCATTACAAATCTTGGCAATTCATCCATATACAGGCTTAATGAAGTACTGCCAATTACATATTCTACCTGATCCACGGAACGTGGTATTCTTGAAATGCAGATTACTCTGGTATTGGTAGAGGCTTTCAGGTCTTTATCTAGCGTTTGAGATTTCCTACGTAATAACGACATAGATATATATACACGATCATTACTGAATTTTCACGCCGAGAGTATAATGTAGATTATAGGTAAAGCACGGAACAATCTTTCCATTGCTAGCTGTAATTTTGTAGTACAACTTTATTATAATTGATGGTAAATATTGATATACTTTTTTAAAATGGTAAATAATTCCTGAAAGACATTTTTGTTTTTTTCCGATATTTCATTTCGTAGTTGATATTCAGCAAATGCTTTCTTCAGATACAAAGTTCTTTTCCTTTTATCAATAAATTGTACATCTATCGTTTTATCGTTAATTTTATGATTGGATAATATTTGAGTAATTTTGAATGCTTCTTCTTCGGATTCAAAAGTAATCAATCTGAAATAGGCAACAACCAGTTATATTATGAACGACTGTAATACAGATTTAAATTAATCTTTAAATTTAAAACAAAACTATCGCTATGCCACTAACAAACTAGGTAGCTACATGCACGATGATATAAATATAAACGATAATCAGTTATAGAAAATACCAAATTATAGCTTCTAAGTGATACATACCCGATTCTTCCAAAAGATGGATATTTAGCTGATTCAAATTTAGTATCAAACTTTGTAGTAGTTATTTTTTCCAATTGATCAGAGAATTGTTTCTGTTACGATAGGATGAGAAGGTAGAGTTGCCAAATACAATTAAATGTCAAGATGCCTTAATTTCAATCATTTTGGCTATAGAATTTTATCCATCAAACCTTAAAATGATACTTACTTTGGTAATTTCGTTAGGAAGATAGCGTATTCTTATCGTTACTTTGCATAAGTTGTATTCTTTGAATGCTGTAGAACTATCTGAATCATGATTTGAAGTAGTGTCAACGGAATAAATACTTTTTTCTGTATCAGTATCCGTCATTTCTGAGTTCATATCCGTTCCTGTATGGTCTGGATTGAAAGCTCTTTCTATTTGCAGCATGAATTTTTCTGCAGTATCTTGTGTATTAGCGAAGGTACTCAGTTTATACATTGTTTCCAGTATGGACATGTCATGAATTTGAGCATTGGAAATGGAAAACTTTGTAGACATCTCGTCATCTATTACCATTTCACTGATTTTATCCAAGGCACGTTTGCACCGAAAAGCGTCATCTCTCAGCTTGAAAGATACACGACTAACGAAAGAGTAAGAATAATATCATTAATAGCGAATTCTTTCACAGTATTGATCAGACATTGGACTTGTGTGCATTAGGATAATAAAGGGCAAGTCATTGCATATCTCTTTCACTACGGCCACGACTACTCCTAAATTAGCCCAATGCCAGCTTAGTGTTTATGCTGTAGATGTTATAGCAGGAGCTATACTATCAGACTACAATTAAAGCTATTTTTACCCAAAGAAGACGTGTGTCTACGACAATAGTTATTGCAGTAAAATGATGGCATAAACCGTTACTACAGAAAAGAACTTGTGATTGCATGTAAATAAGGACAATGCTGTAGACTCGGTCTTACAAATAGACATTAAATAATTTTGGTAAAGTGATTGGAAGGCAAAGCGTGCCGCCGCCTATTACTATTCAGCGATCATTACTTTAAATCATGTCGTCATGGATGACAGCTAAATAAGGCATTTATTTGGCAGTAAGAAGAATACCAGCAGTATGCATAACACTTACACAGTTGGTGTTCGCGAGTAATTGATAATAGGGCCATCCACGATAAGGCCAAATTGAGGTAAAAATTCAGTCAAGCTATTCTGAAATATAAAACAACATAAATTAAAATTCTTGATTGTTGAGGTGGCTAACCAAGCAAGTGATTGATAACTTGTTCATAATATCAAGTAAGTAATTAATCAACGAATTGTACAACTTGGCAATATGTAGGTCCATTTACCATAAAGTGATGGCTTGGCATTTTTTCAAATTGGATAGTAATTTCGACAGGGTTCTGTTGTATTTGCCCAGCAAACATAGTAGCAAAATTGGCTCTATTCGTCATTCGGCAGAATGTAGTCAATTATACACATAGAAAGTTATTGGGATCGAATCGCTACCAATATAATCGATATTCACAATATCTATCATACTAGGCTGACTTAAAATGGCATAAATATGTTAATATCGTGAATAAACTGGCTGCAATACGAAATCCTTTTGCCTAGATGAAGATGATCATGTTGCTGTAGGAATGAGCGTAACAATTACAACATTCATTTATACTGTGCATGGTACAGTCATGGATTACTAAATACTCGTGGGAGTATTTAGTAGTCCTCAACTATATCTGTCTACTTAATCTAAATATGGCTATTGATGTATGATCTACAATTGAATGCAGCAATAAAATCAGATTTATATTTCTGAATTCAAAGGGATATCATGTGGGTCCAATGTTGATATTTAAGAGTGTATTTTGAAGTGTAAACGAATAAATCCACACTTATCATCGAATTGGTGATCCATAACGTTCATTCTGATCATCATCGCTTACCTTGGTTTGGACATGTTTGATTTGACGAAGAGATTCCGTTAGTCCAATCTCTTTCAATCAATTTAAGCAGGTAAATGGCCAAGGTGTCTACTTGCTAAAACAATAACCTACACGTAGAATGCAAATTCAGCAGTCAATCAGTAATAATTCGATATCATCATGGTGAGATCAATCAATCGATAGACTATTGCGTTAACAGAAGTTGATCTATCAAGAGTATTGTATGACTGCATGGCGTTTTTAATGCAACAATATCCTGATAAAGATGTTCAAGGGACCAAGGGGAAGTTCTTTTTTGAATGGCTTTTCACAAAATTGAAATTGTTTGGATGACTTAAGATATTTTTTGTTCAAGGTAAACTGTTTGTACGAATCGCGGATGACAAACGATGAAAACTACAACGTTAATGGATTCAGTATTTGAATCGATAATTCTCAAGCGTCAATTCTTTTTACAAATTGCTTTCTTCATTATCAACCTTTGGTGCAATGATATTTTTTATAGCCAACAACAAGGTCAAATAAGATCCGATACAGTGATGGCCGACCGATCTATTTTCACCATGTCTAATCAAATTACACTTATGCTAACGTCTTCTACCTAATTTACAATTTAAAAAGGATTGCATCGACAGGCATGGCGCCTGCCGTCTCTTACTACCTCTGTTGACGCTTGCTACTACTAAGTCTGTTGCTACTATATCGTCATGTTGTATGCCGTTGTAAATGATATTGGGTACATAAGAATTGGCAATGGATTGCAGAGGTGGATGTCCAATGAAGCCATCTCTGGACAAGACAACGTCAATGATGATGGAATAACTACAAGGCTTACCATTGAATCAATGTTTACAAATCGTTCTTCTTCCCTGTATGCCAGTCTATAGCGTGATATCATCCAGGCAATAGTTAGTCTTTACAAGGTTAGATGAATCATTGTAGGCTAGGTTGTAGCATGCTGCCAATCATGAAAACAAACAACATGCAATTCAAGATGTTGGTGACATAAGAACAAGAGGCAAAAAACGCTTCGTATGCCTAAAATGCCAAAATTTAAAAAATGAGCTATTCTAGTACCATGTTCAAATTAACACATGCCCCAAGGGCTGTACTGAATCTAATTTGGATCGATTTGAAGCGATCGATTGCTCTACAAGCAGGCAATCGGCAATAGTAAAAGTAAGAAAGAAAATGAGTCCAGGGTTTTTCCTAGTCTAATTTGGATCAATTGGAAGCGATCGATTGCTCCACAAGCAGCCAATCGGCAATAGTAAAAGTAGAAAATGAGTCCAGGGTTTTTCCTAGTCTAATTTGGATCAATTGGAAGTGATCGATTGCTCAACAAGCAGCCAATCGGCAATAGTAAAAGTAAAATAGAAAATAAGTCAGATTGAATTTGCTACCGATAGTCACACAGAGATTAATTTCACGGTGTGAAGAAGAGTAGCAGTTTCATCATTCCCCAATAACTTGTCCAGTTGAAGAAGAACAGTGAAGATGCGAGCCACCAATTTAGCCAGGTAATGGCGGAGCGCAAAACGGAAGAGTTACAACACGCTAACACTAGTGACTGACTAATCGATTCATTTATGGCCGGCCGGACGGTAGGACAGCAGTCCACGATAGTAGTGGACTCTGCTGCCCAAGCGTATAGTGTACAGTATGGCGGTACCGACGCCATTCAGGTGTGAACAAGGCCAGTGCAAAATCTATGTCATTTTACAATAACTTTTTACACAAGCAAGAGATGACAAATCATTTGGCAACCGTGAGTTGCCAAATGAAACAAATGGGTCTCTAATAACTCACCATATTTTGGATATCGTGTACAAGAAACTTGAATGAATTTCCATAGCGATACAAGCAAGTTTCCAGGCATTTTCAACCTTCTATTTCTGTTTGGTCATCATGGCTTTGTCTAATTCTAGCCATACGGTATATGGCCCGTTTATTATAATACATCTTAGAAATGCTGACGGAGGCACTTTGTTGGCGTACAGACGCCAATCAGGTATGAACAAGGACAGTGCATAATCCATGTCATATTACAAGGACTTATTAGACAAACAAGGGGTGACAAGCCATTTGACAAGCGTGAGTTGTCCAAGAAACAAATGGGTCTCTCTCTACATCTCACCATATTTTGGATATCGTGTACAAGAAACTTGAATGAATTTCCATGGCGATACAAGCAAGTTTCCAGGCATTTTCAACTTTCTATTTCTGTTTGGTCATCATGACTTTGTCTAATTCTAGCCATACGGTATATGGCCGTTTATTATAATACATCTTAGAAATGCTGACCCAAGCACTTTGTTGGCGTACAGACGCCAACAAAGTGTGAACAAGGCCAGTGCATAATCCATGTCATGTTACAAGGACTTATTAGACAAACAAAGGGTGACAAACTATTTGAGAAGCGTGAGTTGTCCAAGAAACAAATGGGTCTTCAACTCACTGGATATCGTGTACAAGGGACTTGAATGGATTTCAATCGAGATACAAGCAAGTTTCCAGGCATTTTCAACTTTCTATTTCTATTTGGTCATCATGACTTTGTCTAATTCTAGCCATACGGTATATGGCCGTTTATTATAATACATCTTAGAAATGCTGACCCAAGCACTTTGTTGGCGTACAGACGCCAATCAAGTGTGAACAAGGCCAGTGCATAATCCATGTCATGTTACAAGGACTTATTAGACAAACAAGGGGTGACAAACTATTTGGCAAGCGTGAGTTGTCCAAGAAACAAATGGGTCTCGAACACCTCACCATATTTTGGATATCGTGTACAAGAAACTTGAATGAATTTCAATCGAGACACAAGCAAGTTTTCATGCATTTTCGACCTTGTATTTCTGTTTGGTCATCATGACTTTGTCTAATCCTAACCATACAGTGCATGGCCGTTTATTATTATTATAATACATCTTAGAAATGCGGACGGAAGCACTATGTTGACGGACAGACACCAACTTGGTATGAATAAGGCGAGTGCGTAGTCGATGTCATCTTACAACCACTTGTTAGACAGACAAGGGGTGACAAATCATTTGGCAATCCTAGTCGTTAAAGAAAGAAATGGCTCTCCAACTCACTGGATATCGTGTACAAGGGATTTGAATGAATTTCAATCGAGATACAAGCAAGTTTCCATGCATTTTCAACCGTCTATTTCCGCTTGGTCATCATGACTTTGTCTAACCCTAACCACACATGGCTATTTATTATAATACATCTTAAAAATGATGACGGAAGCACTTTTGTTGGAGGACGCCAATTAGGGATGAACAAGTCGAGTGCAAAATTAATGTCATCTTACAACAACTCGTTAGACAAACAAGGGGTGACAAATTATTTGGCAGCCCTAGTCGTCAAAGAAAGAAATGGGGTCTTCAACTCACTGGATATCGTGTATCCTTCCGTCGCTTTTTACCCGAAATTCCGCCTTGTCCAGACTAGCAACAGTATAGAAATGGCGAGATTTCGGGTAAAAAGAGGGACGGCGACGAAGGAGGGAAAGTTGCCTAGTTCCTAGCGTCGATTAGTCCAGCGCGCGTTACTTGAACTCTACTGTACTGTACTGTATACACACGTTTTTCTTCATACTGTACCTCAAGGGTGCTCTAGTCTGAAGACTATAAAGTTGGAGGGATAGTCTGTGAAAGGATTGATTCTAGTCAGAAGACAAAAATAGAGTCATGAACTGAAATAAAATATCGGTACTGTACCGTACATATTGTACAGTATGGTGGTCAGGGACGAAAAGAAAGAAAGAAAGATGGATATGCCAGCGCAACCTTTCTGCTTTTCTTCCTAGATGCGTGTAACGGACAGACAACTTCCCAGAAGCGCTACACTACTGATCTAGAGAATGGAATCCATCCCTGATATACTGAGCGTGATCCTTTTCGTTTTAGATAAATCAACGCTAATGTTTTGCGACATTTTGTGAACGAAATTCATCAAAATTGTTATGTGTGGAAAGAAGAAGCTCTCATAAACATGCCTGTATAATTTATTTTTGTGAAATAAATGATTTCAATTCGTTTTTTCACGATTTATGGTGTACCGTTATTCTTGTAAAAATCGCCATTGTACAGTACTGTATTGTATTGTAACTGTAGCATTTCTAGCAGTCTA